CTTCTCTCTTACCCATCTCCGCTCTTCCGAGTATCTGCGCCTCCCGCCTCGCACTCCTCCCGAGCCCTCACCATCCTCCCCCTACCCCCCATCCCGCCTTTCCACCCTTGAAAACACCCGTGTGAGTCTTCCAGTTTCCGATACATTCCGCCAGGAATCCCGGCCGTCGTCTCCGTCACTCGATATCTCTCGCGAGCACGCACACGCGTGCACCCTCAACAAAATCCTTGCCACTATCCGCGCGGAGGATGGGAACTCAATCTCATACTCTCATCGCGCAATTAAGTCTCTTTGCGCTTTAAGCCGCACGAAGAAAGTGCACGCCAATCGATCGAGCGTTTTTTCTTTTTTTTTTCATTGCATCTCCTTTTGTTCTAGTTAGAAATATGTAGAGTACATATGTAGAGTTATTTGATGAGAAAAGGGATCCTTCTTTTTTTTCATAAAAATGGATTGTTGCGCGTTGGGTCGAGTTAAAGCGCGCGCTCGTTCGACCGCTCATTCTCCCGAGGGCGAGAGAACGTCGCTGCGGGATTGAAACCGACCGAGGATGGATCTGCAATAATTGCAAGTCGAGTGCATTATGCACGGTCGGCCGAGTGCGGAAAGAACGTCATGCTCCCACCGACCGACCGCTCGTGAGAAAGAAGGAGGAAGATAGATAGAGAGAGAAAGAGAACGCGAAGCGTTCGGAGCGGAGACGCCGCCTTCTTCCATTAATCTCGCCGCAATCGAAATTAGCATAATTGACGGAGCGGAGAATAGCGGCCTGTTCGACTCCGAAACGCCATCTCGCATAATCTCTCCATATATCTCACTCAGTGTTTTCCGATAAAGCACGCATCCGCGAAAGGACCGTCGACGGTCCCGGAGATATCCGTGCAGCGTGTCGAAATACTATCTGCAAATAGTACGGAATCATCGGGAATCACTCGGTTGGGGAAAAACGCGGGTCCGCGTCTCGAGATGCCGGTTATCGGAATGAAAATCTGAAGCCAGTCACGATTCACGATTTACTGAAAACCGCGCGACTCTCTCTCACGTACCCTTCGTCCTCGTCTTCCCCCCTCTCCGTCGCGAAAATATGCGCGTCGTTTGTATTCACGGTACGCGCGCGAGAAACTTAAATTGCCGCGATTAAACTCGACATCGTACGCGCGCGCGGGCGCTCGCGCGACGGGAGATTAATGAATTTTCGGAAGCGTAAAATCTCCCGATACTCTACGCGGCAATGTTTCTACTCTACGCGGATCGATCTGCAAATTTCGCGGCGCGCGCTGTTCGACTGGTTTTAATAAACGAGCGCGCGAAGGGAATGCAGATCGCGCGCACGAGATATATAGGATATAGCTACATCTCGGTGGACCGCGGGAACGAACCGACGGCTTTTTCTCGCCCTCGCCCCCGTCCCTTTTTCTCTCCCTTTTCGCTCTTCCGTCGTCGTCGCTCTCCCTTTCTCTCGCTCTGTCCCTCTCCTTTTCTCTCGCGCGCGCATCTCCTTGAGCAAGACGTATCGACGCGGATTTTTTTCCGCGTCAGTCATTTATCAAAGCCCTTCGTTCCCGTTCCCCGCACCCCATCTCCCACCCGATACACGCAGATACGGCCGAAGGATTTAGGCAAAGAGACTAGACGAAGATGGAAAAGGAAAGGGGTGGACGGTGGGCGGAAGGGATGGACATGCCCTTTCTCGGACACACCACATCCGGCAGTACCAGATCGAGACACCGTAAGGTCCTCTCGCGCGCTCTCGTCCGTTATTAGCGGTAGAGTTTGACAAGAAAGAATAATCGCGAGATAGAAGCGCGTCCCATCGCGACAGCCGCGCTTTTCATCCGTTCCTTTACTGACGTCCCGTGCCCGATCATTTCAGGCTGTGACGAATAATGGCAAAAATACAGACGGACGTATTGGAAAGGCAGCGACGTGGCCGCGAACGTGGTAATTAAGGCCGAGGCATTAATCCTGAAAAAATTCGACGGCCGCGCGCCGCAGTTCCCCAACGTTAGCACGGGCAATTTTTACCCGGCCACGTCCTCGCACGCAACCTTTCCCTCTGGAGGAGAGCTTCACTTCCGCCCTGTCCTCCGTCTCCCTCCCGTTTCCCTTTTCGCAAGAGCTCGATCGAGTATCGGATGCTTGTGGTTTTAGCGCGAACGCGAGCGGAGCTACGCGACCGACGCTACGGTAAATCCTCCGCCAACTCGGCGACCTGCAACGCGCGCGCGAGACTCACACCTGCCCCGATTACCCTCTCCCATTTCCGGAGAACACACGCGTCGTGCGTCGCGTCGTCGTGAAATCTCGCGGACTTAAGATTTTAAGCGGCAGTCAGGGACGTTGCATTCGCGGGATTTCTATTCATAGATACATAGGTATACACACGTTTAATAAAATCGCAATTAACCGCGCGCGTTGATTCATCCCTCTATTTTATACGTATTTTATCCCGCGTTTTCTCTACTCTCTATCTCTAACGGTTCTCTCTCTCGCTCTCGGATTACGTCTTATACGCGGCTTAGGAGCGTGCTCGAGGACGAGCCGGGGGCGGGCAAGTGGTAACGAGAGCGGCGACGTAATTTCACTCTATTATAAAAAGGCGGGCGCCATCGACTCGGCCGTCGTTAAAAAATTTACTCGGGCGCGTAGGTGGCGGGATAATCTGATCGAGCACGATGAAAATGACACGTGACGACGACGGCGGGACTGCCGGGTTCCGGCTTGAATCCCGGCGACGTATCTTTCTATCTCCCACTCCGTTTCCTTGCCAGGGTCTTACGCTTCCGAGCTTCTATAAACTCCGGATGGTGGTGCGTGAACGCGAGCGCGAGCGCTACACGACCTTTTGTTATCTCCTTTGAAAGAGACGCGAGTGCATATTGCATTACCTCGCACGGAGCGCAAGGAAAATGGAGATAGACGGCGGAGAGAAAAGAGAGAGAGAGAGAGAGAGTGAGCTAAACGAGGGAAGAAGAGGGAGAGAGCCGTGTGACGTCAGAGAAGAGCGGGTCAACCCGTCGGGTTTCATAAATATTTTCCGTACGGGCGTCGCCAAACTGATTTACGGTAGCTGAAGTACACGGGACGTAACGTAACGCAACGTTAGCGAGACTCGAGAGATGCGTTACGTCTTATTGCGTCAATCGTTATAGGGGAAAAATTCGCGAAGTACGCGAGAAGGTCGACGCGATACGCAGGGAAAACGTGAGTCGAGAGTTTTTAACCGAAGTTGTATCGTCGATTTCTACGGTGAGGTAGGTCAGGAAATTCTCTCGGTATGCCAGATAAAGATAAAAATATCGTCTGATAATCGAGTAATCGTACTTAAAAGACTTATATAAAGTAAGATTTAAGGGCCATTGGAGAAGATAAAAAAAAGGGGCAGACGATAAATTCCTCGTCGTGAAATACGAGTGTTTGACTAGGAACACACTGGTGGATATCACGGGCGTGTATGGAGTGTGCTCGCGCATATGCAAATACTTACACGGCGCTGTCCAAAAGGCAAATACATGCGGCCGTAAGATAAGACTGGTTCAAGGGTTCCGGGATATCCCGGTTGGGGATATCCAGGAAGGATTCTCTCACGGTCCCGATCGAACCACGGATTATTAGCGATAAGCCCTTTCGCCCGCCCGGGAGAGCACGGGAAAACTCGTCCTTGCACACTCTTCGCGGCCGCCTCTAGTCTCTCCCCCGCACTTTTTATTAGATTTAAACTCGCGCCGCACTTCTGACTTCGTTAAAGGTCGACTAATTAAGCGCAAACGGCGTAACAAAAACTACAATTTGAGCGAAAGCGGAAACAAGATAAGATCGTTTGCACACGCGGAAAAGAACATTTTAGTGTATTCTTCGCACTAGAATGTACATACGATAATTTCGAGTACCGAGTACCGAATACGGAAGTATTAATGAAAATGGTATTGTTTAAGATCGATTAGAAGATTGTTTTACAGAATCGAAGATTCTGGAGATAGCTTTTAGCGCAGCTGCAAGTCTGAAAATAACTAATAGAGCTCTTCCCTTTTAAAGAGTCTCATACCCTAAAATAACGTGGTTCTGAGGCCCTAATTCTGAGGTCTATTTAAATTTGTACCATATGTTTATTATTCCACACTCTTTATTGTTAGATGCTCGTATAAATACTTTTCTCGACTTCCTGTATTCCACGAATTTTAATGAACGTTTTCTCTCTCTCTCTCTCTCTTTTTCTCTACGCGCGAACCATTGCGCTATCTCAGTTACATACTTATTTTCATATAAACTTTCAATTATCTTAACAAATTCTTGTATATACTCTCGTTTATTTATTTCTATTATTTATGCAATGTTTTTCTTTTCCTGTAATGTACTACTTCACTTTTTTTTACTTTTGAGATTACTAATGTAAATGTTATGAACTTCTGTATTTTTTAAGTCTCAGTGCTAAGGGGAGTCAATCCCGGAGCGCCAAATAAATGATGATGATCATCATCATCAACATCTTCTCTCTCTTTTCTTTCTCTCTCTCTCTTTCTTTCTTGCTTATATATATCGCTTGAGGGGGCACTGTCCTAGAACGCACAACAAACAACTATTCTATTCTATTATATTCTATTCTCTCTCTCTCTCTCTCTCTCTGTCCCTTTCTCCCTCTCTCACTTATCTATCTGTTGTATATAAATTATATTTTCGGTGCAGTCCCATCCCCTCCTTTTATCATCCATTTATTAATATTATCAAATATCAAGCGAGACCTATATAATGCGATAGAACGCGACCAAATGACCGGATACACACAGATTATTCAATTTCCGTTAAGCAAAATAACAGCAGTGGAGTGGCCGTAGAAAGAATTTGGATATTGGGGTAGGCACAGTAGGCGACGAAGAATAGGATACGTTGGTAGGGAGACGAGAATATAAAATGGGAGAACGGTGCAACGGAGCAAGTCATTTGTACGAGTCGCCGAATATAAATACCAAAGACGAAGTTAAAAAGTCAGCAGTAGAGGAGCGGACCCGCTATTGTGAGCTGTCACATACACCAGCCTTAATATCTCTGACAAGAAGAGGACTCGGTCGTAAGATCAAAACATTAGCATGTTAGTAAAGTTGCGTGTGTTTACATGTACAGAATAATTACTTTTCATTTGTATGATAATTATTTGTCCTTCTTCCTCGTGTGTCTACAAATCGATACAAGCAAACGAATGTCTTTCGCATCGATTCGTAGATAGCGCGTTATCAAGTCGCGTATAAAAATTGTAAAAATGCACAGTACAAATGTGCCCAGCTTGGAATGTTTTTAACATTTAACAGAGAGTTAACGAATCGCAGATTGCAACGATCATGGAGATGGTCGAGGACTATGTGGAAGCTAGCAATATGCAACAGCGTGACGCTGAGGACGTTGTTGAGGAATTTGTGACTGAACTCTCCAAAATGCAAGGTAGAAACATTGATATCGGATCGGGCCCGGGTGACATCACCAAGATGTTATTGTCGATCATGCCGCACGATTCGGAGATAGTAGGTGAGGTATATGAAAATTTGGCGGTGCGCGGGATCTTCTTCTTCTGCATAAAACCCTACGTCGTTTTGCAGGCGCGGATATATCGCAAGCGATGGTGAATTATGCGCGCCAGAAGCACATTGACAAACGATTGTCGTTTGTCGTACTGGACATTGAATCGAGCAAGTTTGACCAAGTGGAAAAATATGATAATGCCGTGTCTTTCTATTGTTTGCATTGGTGCATTGATATACGGTACTTATGATAATTTCGTGAGTAACAATCGAAGAAAAGAAGCGTTTGTAAAATATAGTTGACAATTTTTGACAATTAATCTTGATATTAATTATTAATGAAAAATTATATGTGAAAATATTTGCATATATTAATAGCTTAATCAGAACAATATTTATCCTCCAAATGTTCTCTCTAATTAAGTTACCAAATTTAGGCGCGCTTTCGAAAACATCTACAAAATGTTGCGGCCAAATGGAAAAGCGCTGATGATGTTCCTTGGATATCATAGTGGATTCGACTCGTACATACGACTTAAACAGAATCCGCGATATGAACCTTATGTATATGTAGGTATTAACTGGCTAAAACGATTAGAACGTATCTAATGTTAAAATTAAATTCAAACTCTTTAAGGATGCGCCACGGTACGTGCCGTATTTTCAAAGAAAAATGTGCAAAAATATCGGAACAAGTCTACGAAAGATGCTCGAGGACATTGGATTCGAAATATTGCATTGCAGCAAAAGGGAAAAATCTTATCAATACAGTAAACAGAGTTTCAAAAGTAAGAAACTGAATACCTAACAAGACGAATTATTATCTATTTACAGAGAACAGTATAAAGATCTATCTAATCTTTATCGTTTATACTGTTAATCGTTGTTATCGTTGTACTGTTATCGTGGTACTGTTATCGTTAATCGATAAATTAAATCGTTGTAAAAAAAATTAATCGTTACGACTAAATAAGATTCTTTATTTCTTTGTATAAAGCAAAATTATATATTTAATTCTTGCAGACCACGTGAGTGCCGTCAATCCATTCATCAAAAGAATGCCGGACGATATGAAAGACGAATTCGTGGACTACCTGGTAAACGAAATAATGAGCCAAAACGCTCTGATTCCCATGAAAAGCAAAAACAGTGAAGAAGAATACATAATCTTGAGATATTATCTTCTAATAGCGTATGTGCAAAAACCATCATCGGCTGCCTGAAAGTCTTAACGCTAAAATCGCGGCGATTTTAATCTCCTCCAAAATCATAGATAAGTTATTTATGACATCATATTATTTTTATGATATGTGGTATTTAGTTACCACAAATTAAATACTACACTTTTATTAATACTAATGCAGTCTATGCATAGCTACAGTCAATGACAGTGAAAAGTAAAACTATCAAATGGATAAAAAATGGGATAGCCGCGGTTCTAGTTAAAGTAAAAATGTGTTTATATTTTTAGATAATTGTTAGATAATTGTATACGCAAAATTAAAAATTAATATTCAGCTGTTTTTATCTCATTTGATGTTGACAAAATTAATTGCGTTATTGAAATAATGTTGATTATTTTGTATAAAATCAAATAAATAAAGAGTACTGATTAATTTCAGTAAAATGTGCCAATAATTATATTTCTATTCGTCGAGATATATATATATATATATATATATATATATATGTATATACATATATCCCTAAACAAAATCTTATTCTACACATGTAAAAAGTAACGAAAGGAGAAAAGAACAACTACGTGCCACTTTCGACAGCTTGCCTCCTACAACACTACACTTTATGTATATATTGTACGCTATATCTTTGATTTTACAATAGTACAGCCATTTATAGAATATTGTTATTATAACTTATGGATCATATCGGATACAAGAGTGGGCGTTACGGTATCGATATTCGCATAGCGGGTAACAATATTTCTAACTCTAAAAAATACATCCAGGCTTACAAGTAGTCTTAAAATCGCTGACATCGATCGTGTTTGTTGACTGATTCGGCGCGCGTCACTCGAGAAGTACAACTATAGCAATCCGAAAAATCATATAAGCAAGCTCATACTATAGCTCCTCGTAATGTCCCACGTAGGTATAACGATAATTAATCGCACGATTATTTCCGTATAATCGCAAGAGATTTTTTTTCAACATCGTCAACGTCGTTCTAAAGGACGCAAGGTAGTTATACCTTCGAGCGGCAGCGCGTTGCGAAACATCGAGATGAAAGCGGTCCAAACCGCACCATTGCGCGCCACGAAATATCCTCTATTTGAAATTTTTCCGCATCCATTTACAAGCTATTTTCCGGTTGCGTCGCAAAGTGACCTCCCCTTGACTCCCGCATAATTCATAAATTACCGTGTAAAAGCAAGTTCGAAGACGTAATCTCGCTGTGTGTGGAACACCCGACGCGGCGCGCGGAAGAGGCTCTCTCCTCGGCTGTGAGCATGAATTTTATTGCACCGGCATCGGCGGTCTCGATATTCAAATCGAGTAAAAACAAGCGACGCCGTAGTTAATCGCAACGGAAGATGTATTTTAAACACCCGCCGCGTGTAACGTATATTCCGTCTTATGCTCCTGTGAACGTAATCGATAACGCGCGGAGACCTTTTTTTTTTTTAACTCTCAGTATATTCTAGTTATCGGGACCTTCCGCAAATATCCGCCTATTTCCTACATTACGAACGAGGACATCACCTGTCACAAGCAAGCCTTCCACGATCCGCTTGTACGATGTGACTCCTGATTAGCGCATATAGTACGTAACAAACACGCTTTCGTGTTCGAGCAGTGTTCTTTAATAATAATTGCGAAAGTTGTAAAGCATCGGATCCGACGACTGTCAATTGGCTCTCAGCTCTCACTCTGATTTATAATTATGAAAGTAGATTTTACGGGACACAATATCGTAACTCCAAAAAAGTAGACTTTACGCGTCAATACGTAATTTATTTCGATTTGCGGAACAATAGCCGTAACCGCGCGGAAAAATTCCAAATGTAACTTCCAAATATTTATATTAGATCGCCGAAACCTACACCCGTTTCGAGAATGAGATCTGCGAGCGTCTGCAATCCGGGTGCCTTGCAATTAGTTTAGTTACTAGCTCTGGATGTCTTAAGAAAAAATGTCGAAATCGTAGGAGTTATCCAGTGTACATTTATCGATTACGAGCTAAATGCCGTAAATGGTAAAACGGAGTGAGTTAAGTAACGCTTCCTTAGTGTATCGATCACTTGGTAGTCTCTTATTTCGTAGAAAGGACATCGAACATTAAATACGATTATTTAGAAAAGAGGGATTATACCTGGATATACAGAACAGCGAAGGATGATCGAGGACAAGGCACAAGTGAGTCAGAGAGAGGAGAAATTATTTTGGGATGAAAATTATAATCTCTACGCCTTAATATCGGTTTTTTTTTCATTACGTTATACCTTTCGTCGCGATTAAGATCGATACATCACGAGATATACACATACACACACGTACACACATATATATTATATTATATAACCACAGACACCATCGTAATCGACAACTATTGCTAACAAGAGCGGGATAAACATCTTATTTCTATTGACACTTCCTCGCCCGTGTTTATCTCTCGCCGAGAGTAATTAATAAATAATTCATTCCTTTCAAAGCCCGAAAACGAAAACATCGTATAAGTACTCCTTGCTGAATAGAATAATTTTTGGAAGACACACAAAAGTCTATTGTAAAAAGCATCGTAAGATTTGTATCTACGTATTTTCTAGGAATAAATGCGTAGAAGAGTGGATTGTAAGTTTTAAACTCTATGAAACGAGGAAGACCGTGATTCATCGGGAATTTCATTCAAAACGTTAGAGATCCATGGGAAATATTAATAATAGTATTTTTTGTAAAAAAAAAACAAAGTATATCTAGAGATAAAAACTAAGAGTCATTAAGACTCAAAGTTAAGAGTCGTCAATAATTCGTTCATAAATTAGAATTAATAACAAATAAAATCATATAGATCTGTAAAAAAAAATCATAAAAAGATCCAGCAAGGAAAAATCTGCGAGAATCTTTTTTGCAAAAAAATTTGTAAAATGTATAGAAGAGATCTCTACAATTCCTAATTTGCGGAAAAAATCTGCAAGTACTTATAGAAATGAGATCTCCGTCCAAAATCTAATTTCTTCACGCAGCTTCGTCATCACATCGATGCTTCATTAATCACCGCGTAAAATATCGCTACGTGACAAGAAAGCATATAATTATAACGAAATTACATATAGCTTAATTCTCGATAAAGAGTTTCCTTTCGATTCTTCCGTCACGCGTCCGATGTGCATACCATCGCGTTGATAGAAAAGTGATGAGCAAGTGAAAAAATCGTTATTAAGTCGGTTCTAAAGACTTCAAAGGGTTCATTTCCTTTCATTATTTAAGAATTATAATTTTTGACCTCTGTCACTTTTCCTATCAATGCGTCGATATGCCGAAATGCGCGCCGTGTCGCACGAGAGTCAAGCTTACTATTGTATATAAATTGTCGCTTTATGTACCGCGGTACAATAGAGAGCGGTAGAGAAAACGCGAATATAGAATACATTAATTACGCATTTAAGACCGTTGCTGTTTAGGTACTTTCATAGTAGGATGTTCGTCGTTGGATTCAGCACGCGTTGGATGAAATGCACGTAATCGAAATGCGACACGCGCGGCGAAAATTGCACGATTAAAATTATAGACGCGAATAGGGGGAGGGAGGGGGGGGGACGAAAGAGAAATTAAAAACACGAGTAATTTAGCAGTCGCGAGAAATCGGTCATCATTATGCATCATCAAATCATGCTCCCTAATTATGTTTAAAATCGTAACGTTGTTCCGGTTCATTGCTCTCAAGCGCTAAATAATCTCACACCCGGTTAACGTTACGTAGAAACGATGATTCCATACTAATTCATATTATTACGAATGCACGAGACACCCCGACCGATATCCCAATCCTTAATAAATTAATACCCTTAGACTTAAATTAATCATAAAGGGAGTAAGGGGAGGGAGAAAAAAAGAATACAGGAGCTAAAATAACGAAATCAAGACAAATTGTGAACACAACAAATCATTATAATCTCTCGTCGCTATTTACAAAAACGAAAGAGTAACGGGGCCGACGAGTCAAATGGAATCCAATCGTCGATCGAAGAAGAACGAAAGTATACGTAACCGAGATATACATAAAAATCACGAAACGCGTTACGAAACGGTAAACGACAAAGGATCGATTTTGGACGAGACGATCGAACGCGAGCCACGTGGTCGGCGCCGCACGCTAATTGTAAGTGTAACGAGATTCGACGCGGCACGTCGTCGTTCGCGTTGCCGCGGACTATAACAGCTAAGGGAGGGAAGACGAAATCATTTTGTACGGGACGCGCGGCTACTCTCGGTACAAAGTAGATAACGTATACATCTGTATATGCCGTCACTCTCCGCCACGGGTAACGGGGGGTGCAATCAATCGGGCGTCGCGCTATCGATCGCCACAATCATCGACAAGTTTGCCCTTCTCCCCCTTCGCGCTCTTCCTCTTTTCTTCTCGCCGCTCGTTTTCTTTAACTTTTTTTTCTCTCTTTTTCTTTCATTACAAACAAGCGTCACAATTAAACGAGCAGTCTACGACGCTACGTTACAATCTCGACGATCGAGCCCTCGATCGCGAAGCGGATGCGGGGTCGTTGAACGTAAAATTCGCGCGGTGCTTAAGTGCATTTTTTTTTGTTCTTAAAGCAGTACATTCGCATCCTGCGAATCAAGATGCGTATCGATCGCTAAAGGTATACACGTAGACGTGCAGCGTTGTAAGGCGAGGTTCCTCGGGGTGCGGAGGTTCATCGTTCAACTCGGACGCAGCAACGCAGGCTATCTATATAGAATATCGTCGTTGCACCATATTTACACACATACATCGAGTTTACTCTATTTATTTCATTGTCGGTTGAAATCTGGCGATTAGAGAGGCGTCGCCGCTAAAACTGATAAGACAATCCAAAAACACGACAGCGGCTACGCGGCGGATAGAATTCTATAATATCTTCGTAATCGTCGGTGCAGCCTAATCGACCGCCAGAATATTATATATCTTTTACGAGCGTTCGGAAGAGGAGATTCGTATAGAGAGACATATCTGTCAAAAGAGTTTTTTCGCTGTCTTCGATACGAGTGGATCGAAGAGGGACGCAACAACGTCGAGGGCAATAGTACGACGGTCAGGTACGAAGAATCGTTGTTGAGGAGATCCTTACTACACGAAATGAGCACGCGAGGGATCGACGCGACGGAGGGACGTGATAAACATCGGATAAAAGTGTGTGGGCGAAAGATCCTCGGATGAGCCTAGCTGCTGGGTAAATAACGATCTAACGCAGTTCAGTTTTTTAGTCGACAGCGGCGGACGTTTAGACGCTCCAGTTTCGAAACCTTCGGGACTAAAAGCGGCGAGTGCAATATCTTTTGTGAAAGAAACGGAACGGTACAATAAGCTGAGCCAAGTCACTACGATCGTTTGTAGGCCGTTTCAAACTACGCATACCTTACGTTACAATATACAGCTGCGAACTTCGCGATTGCTCTCTAGAACGACAAACACGTCCGTTACGGGGATCCGCGACGCGGCTCGCGACGCGTACGTTCTATAAATATCTATTTGGTAAACCTTAGGTGTAGCCCGGGCACCTCGGGAGGCACCGGCACTGGAGTCGACCACCTTGGCATTAATCACCGATAGAGAGAGAAAGAGAGAAAGAGAGAGAGAGAGATTTTAGAACTGATAGTGAAAGCGATCCCTCGAATCAGGGATCCCTCGATAAACGCGGCAAGGCGAATGTCTAAGGAAAAAGAAAGACTTAACGCCAGAGCGGTCGAGGCAGACGAGATCGCAGGTACAAATTGATAACATCGTGACGCACGCATCAATTGACGTTGCGATTAATTAACAAATTCCGTCCGCGAACGTGTTCGTCGTAGCGTAGAGAATTCCTATTTTGTTGTTCCTTATATAATTTCTTACATTAATGACGATTATACGCTAGCGCTACCATTTTTCTCTCTTTTACGGCTACCCTACGATTAACAACATCAACAACAACAACACATACAATACATCAATATGAATATAATACATTATATCTATATCCTGTTAAATTTATCTTATCTCATGTACACACGCATGTGTGTGTAACGTACATACGCGCGTTATACATATGTATGTTACATGAATATAGGAAGAGAACGACGCCGATCGTGTCCCGTAGCAAGTATGCGACACATTCGCCCGCATACGATGCGCGGGAAAAGATCTCCGACAAAATTACACACAGCGATTTGATCTGATCTAGTGGAAGGACATAAATGCATAGGTAGATCACACTATACGCGAAGTGACTGTAATCGAGGAATTGGACGCGACAGCAGCGTAAATAGTTTTCGTGGAGAAACGAGCTTGAAACTTTTGTGGAAAAAAAAACAGAGCGACAAATAAACGTTATCTGTAGTCAATGTTCTGATATAATACCGTAAATATAATAAAATTTAGACGTATTGTACGAGTAGTATTGTATACAAAATAACAGCATGACCTCGATTTAACTCTTCAATTGATAAAAATAACGAAGCTAAAACACGAATGAATATCAATGGAACATAAGGGAAATCTATGTAATTGGAAATACGCATTCATTTGCTCACTCTTATCGTTTATATCCCAATTATGTGCTCTTATGTACTCAATATCATCGTCAACGTAACTGAGATTAGCTCAGTTAACGAAAATATGTCCGAAAAGATGATGCTGCATGTTTTAACGCCGTAACCGACATGAGAGGAGTCAATTAGCCTTATATACAAATACATCAATATCGCAAGCTCGAAAACGATAATTACGTCCGCAAAGTAAACGCTCGTACTAAAATTTGTTCCGTTACGAAAAGGCGCAACATCGAAAACAAACGTAATTTTAAAAAATCTAACGCATTCGAGGTAAAAAAAACACATTTCGAAATAAAGTCAGACTAAAAAAAAAAAAAAAAAAACAATTAATGTAAGACGATAGAAATCCAGTATGTACCGTGTATCGTATAGAATTTACGCGTCGCATTACGCATTTAATATCGATTTCTTCCGTTGCACCACCTCGAGATACCGCAGAGGATGCGTATTTCACCCAATGGTGGCATCCGCCCAATTTCGCAAAGACCCGATGTCCACGCATATCGATCCATTCACATTCACGTGTTGAGCGTACCACGCAGAAGAGTTACACGCATCGTGTAACTGTTAAATATCCGCATTATTCTTATTTTACAATTATCTACCCTCACTCATGCTCGGATAAAAAGTCAGTCGCGTCAGTCCATTACGATACAAGCTACAAATCTCACGAATAATTGGTAACTCCGTTTATGAAAAGAATGCTATCACACACACGCGATAATTAACTAAGAGAAATGGTAACTCTGCATACTTTTTACGGATAAAGTATGAAATATCAGCTGTTCCCCCTCTCTCCCCTCCCCCCCCTTCCCACCCTCGCTCCTGAACACCGTAGCAGCTGTTCAAAAATGAACTAAATGCCGTATTTTTTATGTCTATCGCAAATGAAATGTTCAATCTAAGAGAGGTGCACGGGATATAACTTAAAAATTCTTAAGTTTACGGGATGCACTATCGCTTGCAATAATAAATGCAGCATATGTCTTAATTGCCTTTTCAAATTTTCTCTGCTTGTTATATCTCACGTGATAATTATGAGCGCTTCTTTAGATTTCTTTTTCCCTCTCGATGATGCTTGCGAAAAGTAATGTACATACAAAGAGAACAGAATTAATCGAGCGATTGCTACTATCGCTATTATTGACTATTATTGCACGCGATGGTATAATTATAAGCAAGACATTTCTATAATAATATATGTTTATACAAATTATATAGAATAATTATAAAACAATTGAGAATTTATGATTGAGAATTCAAAAAATTATATCATTTGTTCTCACATATTAAATCAAAATGTAATTTTTAAATTACTAAAAATGCTAAAATAGATATTATAAGCTCGACAAAATTGTAAAACAATACAGGCATAAAAGAAGCGAAAATTAAAAATATATATATATACATATGAGATTAATATATACCCTTTTTTTGTGCTTTGAGCTCACTAGAAAATATAATATCGAGATAATTCGTGCGAGATTCGTTCAAGTTCGCAAGTAGTTATACTTTCGTATCTGTGCGCATACACTCTTATTCGAAAACTATCATAATCAATCACATCAAAGTATGGCTCTTTCGATGTAAGTACATGCAATAAAAGGATGTACTTAAATTCACAGTTACGTAAGAGTCTAAATTTTGAAAACACTAAATGCCACGAGATCGCTTGTTATAGTGCACTTGTGCAACTGGATCGCAAACACGATTCAACAATAATTTGTTGCCCTATTATGCCAAATATTTAACAAATAAATTTGAGATTCAAAAAGATAGTTCAGTCTTTAGGCTGAAATAAATAATGCAATTCTTCGAAACGCAAAATATACAAATATGCGCAAAATACAAATAATAGAAGTTGCCATGACAAAGTAAGCGTGTGTTTTACTTAAGTATAGATGTATGTAATGTTATATATTCTCTTTATAAAACACACACATAATATCATCTTTTTTTTTCTTTCTCTCTTTGATTCGATCGTCGTTTCTCGTGCGATTATCGTCAAGCAGATTACAATACACCCCGCGTACCTCTGCCTTTTATTAAATCAACACGTTAAATAAATAACGAATTTACACGATGTAGAGACTTACGACGGGATAGGTTTTAATCCTAAGTTCGTTATCACTACGAAGAATCCCTTCATAGATACCTGTGTACACATATCGTAGCGCGTAGCCTAAAATATCGTATAATTAGAAACAACAAGGACAATGTTACGTCGTAACATTTTTGATTGTCTTCCTCAAAGAGGTTTGCCCGGCCGTTAATCGCTCGGAATACGAAGAATCGCTCTACACAATGAGATACCGGGACACTCTCGTGCCCCGCCCGGGCAGGACAGTGTCCCGATGTTTTCACGACGCGGGCATACCCACAGAAAAAAAAAATTTACTTCATACGGAGTACTTTCAGTCAAAAATATATCAGATCACTCGCGCGTTCGTGCAGACCTCTTTCAGCACTTTCCAACGTTTCTCCTCTAGGCCAAAGAGATTTCACCCTCTCTCGATATACTTCTTACATTATTCTGACTGGAATCTCCTGAGATCTGATCTTTTATTAATCGAAGACCAATCTAAACGGAGCATCTTGGAACGCGATTAGACTTAGTTTATATAGTCGGTTAAATAACGATGCCTTATGCATATAACAACAATATTAAATGTTAGCACTTAGGAAGGTTTGTTGTATTATTTTTTTCTCTTATTTAGAATTATAATATATATATATATATATATGTATATATATTATATACCTCTCTCGCGCGTATTTCTCGCGAACGATCTTAATGCTTCGTTAAGATCATACAAATACGTAATCGACTGTCACATCAGAGACTATCATAGATTCCGAAACCTCTCTGCTTAATACTGTGTGCAAATAATGCGAAACTCATATTTTTCATTAAAGTTCTAACATTGTCTCTTTTGTGTTACTAAGCAGATTTTTTTTATCGTTAAAGAGATCAAGACGCTTTCACGTGAGGCATAGTCGATCAAGGAATCGATCGGCATGTACGATCAACGCTCATCAGTCAAATAATGATCATCAGTAAAAGACACAGCGTTGAAGTAATAGAAAATTACTTCGATCCACATTATTCGACATCTAATTTTTTTGAAGTATTAAATGGTAAAAGATCAGTGTATATATATATGTATATATGTATATATGTATATATATATATGTATATATATATACATACACACATAAAATTGTATCATACATAATAGTGAAGACGTTAACTCGTCATGCCTCATGTAGCATCGAGCTGCCTGAAAACACGTAATCTCTCGCTTACAGCACCGTCAACACGATGTCAACATTCCCGGCGAGAACGTTTTATCGTCATCGAGCAACTGTAGATAAGCGCCACGTGCCAACGTTCCGTTAGTCGTTATTGATTCGTTTCCTTGTACGAGTGTACGGGGAAAATATTGCGTCTAAGTGACATCTTGCTCCTTTCCCCCCCTCCCGACGTATCTCTCGTTGCAGAATTCAGACTGCGATTCGCGTTTAGTGCACCAGATCGCATAACTGGATGCTTTGGACGATGCGTATAATGGCGTGGAGACACGGACACCCGTCGTATCTTTAATTAACACACAGCTAGGTGACTCGTTTCGCGAGTCAATACGTATTCTCGCTAAGCGACTCTGGCAAGCTAGCTCCGCCAGACGGTGACAGGGGTAACTCACTTTCGTATTTGCTGTAGCGACTGTTATACTCCGCCAGCAAGTTAGCTTTCACCTGTCACGCACATTAAAACACATAAAAAGATTTCATATTACGAGTATAACAATATATTATTCGTCGCGTTAGGATGCAAACCTACCTTGGCTCGCTCCTCTTCCAGACTTTGCCGCACTTCCTCATGCTGTCTTTCTAACTCCTCTCTCTTCTTATCGTAAATTTTCGATAAGCGCGTACATTCGTTTACGCCCTTCTCCACGGTCGATTTTGAGACTTCTCGTTTTATACGTTCGAGCTCGGCTTTGTCCTTGTGCACCTTGGCCAACTGTTTGACCTAAAGCGATAAAATATTGCCATACCATCGATCATTTTGTTACACATATAATTCACATTTCCGTTACTTCATATAATTCAGTTGTATAGAATAGCATTGTTATAACAAATAAGTACCTCGCCTTGTCTCGTAACCTGCAATCTTCGCTTAACGTCTGCGGTATCTCTGTCTAGGAACACCTGGAGCATCTTCAGTTGATTGGACTGCGACGCTCTCATCACTTTCTCGACGATCGCAAAGAGATTCTCGTAATACTTTTCCTGAAGTTCACGTTCCTGTTGAGCATGCGCCTTGCACACGGCTAGAAACCGTTCGCTTTGACTCCTGGGCAAACTTCTGGTTCCCTCGTTACCCTCCGCGTTCTCCGGGCATTCGGAGGTCTCGGGCATGGTCAAGGTGCTTAAACCCACTTCACTCGAAAAACTGCTTAAAAATGTTTGCGACTCAATATTGTAGCAATTTCTGTCTGGTCACGCGTGTATACTTACATATTTTTACTCGACAGTCGCTTCACCAGCTTGTTGCTCATATAGAATTTCGATCTGTGCTTCTCGCCGTCGATCGAGGCTTTCTGCGCCTGCAGCCGCATCTTTTCCTTCTCATGCTTTTTCCTCATAGATTCAAGCTTCTTCTCGAGTTCCATCTTCTTCTCCCTGACCAGCTTGTTTTCCATGAGTTTCTCCAAACTTTCGGCTACTATTTCGTCACTTACTGTAGACAGAGTTGGCGAGTTGCCAAAATAGAAAGTAAAAAAGAAGAAAGACAAAATGTTCTTAAAAATAACTAAGAAAAAAAAACACTCACTATTGCTAGCATTGACTGGGCTCTTATTTATAGATGGATCAACTGGCTGAACTGCAGGGCAGGGAGCGTCGTCTTCCACGTCCACTGTATCCGAACTACCTAAACCGCCGATAGACGGTCTACTATGTAAGCTGCTGGAAGGTGGAAAAAGACTTGGCATGTCCACAGTTCCTAAGGACTGCAGTCGTTTAGTTTTTACAACTTCCTCCTGCAAAAATAACATTGTTACTAATGCAATTACAAGAGAGCCAAATCGTGCAGAAAACTTACAGCTGGTTTAGCAGTACTAGGAATATCGCCTACTTTACTTTTATCCTACAAAATGTTAGTAATGTTAGTAAATTTGGAAAAATTGTTAGATAAAAAAAAAGATTAGTAAATCACTTAGCAATATTTTCGAAGCGTACTTCGACTTCATTTGATTCTTCCAAGCAATCCGTGAAGACCAACAGCTGGTTCTCTCTCTTCTCTACTTCGCTCTGATATTTAATAGGATTCGCTAAAGCCTCGGCGAGCTCGCTCAAGCCGTCAGGAACGTAATCCTTCACGATAATGTGTAAAAACAGAGTCGCTAGTGCTAGCGGTTGTCCGCACTCTGTTCTTAATGCTACGTGTCTGTACCCTGGGCATAATCCGACTACGGGAAGTACCCTGTGACCGATTAAACGTCCAGATTCTTCGTACGCCGCTATCCTTATCGAGGCAAGATCCGGCAAAACTACCTGAGAAATGCATAGACAATACGTTATAAAGAAAAAAGTATTTTATAGCATAACTTTGAAGTTTACGCAAATTGTTGTTTCACCTTCTTAAATACAAACGGCTCTCCGTCGTATATTGGATTGATACCGTTGTTCGGCACGATTTTTGTGCGAAATTTCTTATGTACGGTATCCGCTGGTAGACCATACATATTGACTTCCACATAAGTTCCTACTCTTTTGTCGGTTAAAAATTGTGCGGATATCACGTTGATGTGAACCGTGCCTGCTATAATACCGTCAACAGTGGATTCGGCGAAGGGATCTAACCGCCGATCTTTCCTTCTCATAAACTCCGGTTTCATTAGATAACCGCAACGTCGATTATACTCAAATATTCCCAGATTTAATTGCATCGGCAGATCTGTTACAGATAGAATCAAATTCACCACAATAATAAACGATGGATAAAGGTGATATATCAGATAAAAATCTTATTTACCAAGCGTTTGATAATTAAGCGCAACCAGTTGACACCCCGCATTCCAAAATTCTTGCGGCATGAAATTACTGGAATCGAATCTCGTTCCTGACGGATAAACCCTGGATAATTGATGCTTATTGTAATTCACAAAATCTAACGGCTTCTCCTTCAGGAGAGTCGAAGCTTGCTTTTCGTCGAAAGATGACATTTCGTACATGCGATTCTTTTCTGTAAAAATACAGGCGATATATTAAAAAAACTCATCGTCTTCACAATATGAAGAGAATGTATTAATCGATATTCTTCTTGTTAGGATACTTTACGCACTTTCAGCCGATTCGAAACTGTTGAAGTGTACGGGCTGCACATAATTAACTAAAGCTGAAATTTCCGCGCCCGCCTCCGTCTCTTTGGCCGCAGTTTTTTCTGCGACTTTGTCACCCAGTTTCAGTTTCATATCTTCCACATTGGACTCGTCGTCCTCTGTACTCGATTCATCTTCTTCGTCTAAAAAGGAAAAATAATAACTCGTCAAACACGCATGCCTCTCCCATCAACACATATTTTATAGCTCCAATTTCCTATTACCAACCCTCATCATCCTGACCGCTGTCTTTACTACCCTGTCTTTGTTGCAACATCGGAAGATGGGGAATATCGCCATTTCCAATTTGCTCACTTTCGTGTGCAACATCATCAGCCATTTCATTCTGAGGTATAATATCCGGCGGAGGACCGTTTTCTTCTGCAGCAGATAAAGTCACCGTTCCATTAGTTTCACTCTCCGAGGTACCTTCAGCAGTGTCTAAAACCTGCAATTGCTTTTTCTGATGCTTTTTATGATGATGGTGATGCTTCTTCTTATTTTTTATTATTATTTTGCGCTTTAATAACGACGGCGGCGGGAGCTCCTGACCCGGCTCTAACTAAAAAAAAAACAACCAAAAAAAAAAAATATTCAATTACAATAATAATTTTAGCATGTAATTAATTTAGTCTATCCATTAAACGTAATATCTAAAAATACCTTGTGCGATTCGAGTGGCACTTCGAGCAACATTTCCCCGAAAAAGTCTCTGCAGTACTGAGCAATTTTGGCTTGCTGCCTCGTATTGCAATGATTTTCGAAACTGAGAACGACCGGATAGTCAGACGTTTTAAAAGCGGTCTCAGCAATTGCCTCTATCACATCTCGCGCGCATATTTCAGGTACGAATGTATACCTAAGAAAAAAATTTATATTTTTATGGAATCAATCGCATGCTTTCTTACGTAAATATAATACAAAATAATTGCAATAATATTTGTACCCGTGAACAATAACGGGTTCGTCAACTTTCCCATTCCAAAAATCTAATTCAACGCATCGGCAACCGGCTAGAAGACATTGACGATAAATTTCCACGGAACTCTTTCCGGTAAGTTGATGTCCTGAATAGAAGAAACGTTATATAAGTACACAAATGAAAAGTATGATATACGTCGTGTTAAAAATAATTATGACAACGGTGTTTGTATACCTGTTAAATATGTGTTGTGACTAGAATTTATAAAGTAATGCGGAAGCGGTTGATCCATATCATCGCACAATTCAAATTTGGAGACGGCGACAATCGGATTGTCCTCACTCATGAGATATCTCAAGAAACCGTCAAAACTGAGCTGTCCTTTATTTGCATTACACTTGTTGGGTTCGTACTGATTTATGATATCCTTTGCCCTTGCTTCGTTTGCGTACGGATACAGTATCTCGTTGAGGCGCGGATCTCTCTGTGACTTGTTTAAAAAGTCCACAAATTGCGAAACAGACATCAGCTTGCGTTTGCCACTGCCGATAATTCCTTCAAACACCTTTTCCACGTCTGTTCTCTGAGTGAGTGACTTGTAAAAATTGAAGAAATCCTCAAATTGAAATTTTGACAACGGCATGACGTCATTCTAAGAAACAATATTGTTGTAATAAGTGTACGATGTATTTTATATTAATAAAACTTTTCAAAGTTAATATTTACGAGAAACTCACTTTGCCAGATGGAAAGCCAGAAATATCCAACGCCTTCTCAACACGCTTGCGGTCATCTTTGTTTTGTGCAAACATTTTTACTATACTGTAAAACGAATCAAATATAGATCTTATCTCAGAAGAGAACGCTGTTGCGGACAAAAGATTGCATTACAACACTACTCACTCTTTTACCGGTATCTTTTCACTTTTATCAGCAAAAAGTGCAAGCTTGGTATGTGCTTTCAATAAGAACATAGTTGTGCTAGTGTTTAATTGAATCAAATTGTATGCCATTTGAAAAAGTTGTTCTGTCCAATGTTGTGCTATTTCTGCACGCGTTGTGCAAAAATTAATAAAATTCATATTGACAAAGTCAGAGCCGTAACAGATTGTTACAGTTTTGTCTTCTAAGGGAACTTGAGAACCCATCGTTACAAGAGATTTCAGCTTTGGATCCTACAGAGGAATTTTTAATTCACTATAAATTTCTGCTATCTCCTCTGACACAAAGCTTAGAATATATAAGTAAATGAAATCCCTAATAATGCCCCTAACAACTCGCCGCGGCGAGTGCAAACAAAAAGTTCCATACAATGAGCTAAATGCATACAATGCTGCATGCAGAAGTATGTCAGTACTCATTCAAAGTTCTGTTTATTGATTTATGGGAAAACTGATCCAGCTAGGCGTGTTATTTCAATGAATACGGAACTGCCTTTATCTACCATTGGTGCCGGCGGGATAGTAGGTGTGATAAAAAAAGCAAACTATGTATGGGACATAAAGTAGGTAATGGTCTATTAATAAATTAGTCAATAATTATTATGTGATGATGCTCTGTGCGTCATTGATGTAATTATGGAAAAAATTAGAGTTTCTCTTTGATTATTCAACTTGGAGCATTTGTAATACGTTATTCACTATGCGATACCACTAGTAAAGTTGTAAATCATAGTCATCAGACAATTATTATTATATAACAATGCTCTGTGCGTCATTGATGTAGAAAATGGAAAAAATTGAGTTCTCTTTGATTATTCATCTTTGAGCATTCATACAATATTTTCACTGTTAGTTACCACTAGTAAAAAGTTGTGACTCATGGGCACATCAGTATAATGGATGCATAAAATATTTGTTACTATTAAAAGGAACACAAATAAAATTAAATACCTTTGGTACTTTTGCTTGTTTTCCTGTGCGAGTATCTCTTATAATTGCTACGTCCAGCATATCCATCTCATTATTTTGATCCGACCAGTGTAAATAAAAGCCATATTTATCCACTTTCAAAGTCACCGGCGTTGCCACCCCGGAATCCTACGATTACATATAGCATTCGACATTATGAAAGACATTACTTTTGCCGCATGACTGTTTATACTGTAATTGCCGCATAACGTTCTCTCTGATATGTGTCGCGTCTAAGTTGATATTCTCAGGAAAGAAATGCGACGTGAGTTATCGTCACGGAAATTCCGTTGCCTTTCTTTTTTTTAATTTTCTTTTTGACTCCGCTAAACTAGGAGCCTTTTATGCCTAAAGTGACCTTTTACATTTATACTTTTACTAGCGCCTCGACATTAAAACTGCCGACTACCACAGCCGTAACATTAAAAATACACACAAACCTCGTCCCACTTGATAAACTTCTCTCCATCTTGCAGCTGCTGGGAAACTTCCACGGGCTTTATGTGCATGATGACACCTGTACCCTTGCTGCCCGCCATCCTGGCCACCTTACGTTACCGCGAATCCACGCTGGACTTTCAAACGCCGAGTCTCCTTTACGGACGTAGGGGTAATGCGACGTGCGGCGTGGAGAACGGCGGTAGCGAACACGCGGACGTTAACCACAGTGGCGGCGGCGACGGCGACGGCTCCAACTCCAGCGGTGGTGGTGACAATAACAGCGACCACCACGACGACGACTCCGACGGCGACGGCGACGGCGACGGCGACGGCTCCGACGACGGCTCCGACGACGACGGCGACGACGACGACTCCGACGGCGACGACGTCGACGACATAAGCCTCATCGAGATTTCGAGCATTAGGAGCACCTGGATCACGGCCGTGTCCTGGTCACCGCTATTGGTACCAAGACGGGGGGCGACTGTCGCTGTCGTCGTCGTCGCGCTGGGCGTACCTCGCGCGTATAAATACACACGTACGTATCCTAAAGACGTGCGCGTCCTCGGGGACAGCCTCCGCGAGGGGAGCCTCGAACGTCGAACCCGCGCGGTCGCTCGTGAGGCCGCGTCACCGGGGGGTTCAGCCGGGTCGCGACTGGACGAAGGTCATCTGCGGAGACATTTCACCGACGACCGAGGAGCGTGCCACGATGACGATTATCCGGGAGCACACGAATCGGGTGTCCTTAACCGGAGCGCGACCGCGCGCGCGCGCGCACACACAGCAGGGCTCGTCGCACGCGCGAGAGAGAGAGGAAGAGAGTGAGAAACGGGATGACGACAATGGGAAACACAACTGATCCACGCGTGTTGTTGGGTGTCGCGAGCACTCTCACGTTTTCAACTGCTCGATCGTTGGTTCAACACCGCTCGCTCCGAAGCTGCGGCGGCGGCGGCGGCGGCGGCGGTGGCAGCAGCAGCATCGTCATCCTCCTTTCGCGCCGAGTGTCGCACGGTCGTACCGCACGCCGAGGATAAGCACCGACAGCACCGCGCACCGTCCGCGCGCCGTCAACACCAGGAGGCGCTCTACCCGGACGTCGGCAGCCGCGCGCCCGCCGCTCGCGCTTCGCGCTTCGAATTCGCGCCGCGGCAATACGTACATTCACAATCCCATTCAGCGCGGTTAAGTTTTCAACGCGGCCCGATCAACATTAATTTATAATCCTGCGGCAGAAATGCTCATAACAAAATTTCTAGCTGTATAACTCATCATCTCTGACCCCTGACTTATTCTACATTCTGGATATCCTTCGAATAATTAAAAAGTTAATTTTAACGCATGTTGACAATATGATATCGATAATTATTCATCAAATTAGAATTTACGCTAATATACGCTAAGTAGCCTTGGTTACGAGATATTTAAAGAGAGATTTTTTTCTTCCCTTCTATATACATTTCTTCCTTACATTTAAAAGAAATCTTTTCCTTCACTTTTATTCTCCGAAATTTTTGACCTTTTCACGAAAAAGATTGTCGATATCGCTTTCTTGTTATTCTTCCACTCTTCGCATAAAGAGCGATTGCGGAGAGAAGACACAAAAGGTTACGCGAGAGAATGAATTAAAGAGAGAGAGAGAGAGAGAGAAAGATTGACCAACGAGCGTTAACGAGGGCGCGAACAGCGTTGAAAGTTAACGGCACCGGTGGAGGGTTGCGCGACCCTCTTCGATTATTACCCCCTCGGATACATACGCGCGGGGATCGATTTGCGGTTCTCCGTTCCGCAAATTCCGGGATCCCGCCGCCGCGCGCGGGTCACGTCCGTATAAGCGCATCGATTTTGCATTAGTTCCGAGCAATTTGCGCGACGACGCAACGACGCGGCGGCCAGAATTAAATGGGTTTTCGACAGGCTCGAATGACCGACTCTCTCCTCCCAACCCGGGGGGAGGGGAGGTCGGATTTTTCGGAGAATACGAGATGAAAAAAAGTGTCTATGTCGCCGCGCGTAACAGCATACACACACACACACACACATACACACACACACACACATACACATGACATACATACGTCATACGCGATGGCTATGTAGATCCCGGCTTTGAATTCGATCTAAAAATAAGCATGCGCGCCCTTTCACGATGAAGGCAGAATGGACTAATCACCTTCACCGCGCCCATTAAATCGATCCAATCTCATCCGACTGCCATTAAACCTAAGTCAACTTGACTCGACAAACATGCGAAATAGAACGGCGATGACGACGACGTCTCGTATTCCCGTGTGCTCTCTCTCTCTCTCCTCTTCTCTCCTCTCCTCTCCTCTCCTCTTCTCTCCTCTCCTCTTCTCTCCTCTCCTCTCCTCTCTCTCTCTCGGGCGCGCGCGCGCGATGGACTTTTCATTTCGTATTCTTCGTATCTGCGATAGAGTTTCTTATCGTCAGGGTTCATTTCTCAAAGAGACGGTCGATAAGAAAAATCGCGTGTGATATAACGCGATCGCAAGAAATCCCGGAGGTCGCGGCTGGTCTCGTCTAAAAAAAATATTCGTTGCAGATCGTCGTATTTAACGGAGGGAGGGTAAAAGCGAAAACTCTGACGGTGGGTTCCACTCCCGCATTAAGATATAATGAAGTGTAATATTAAAATATTACGACTGTATTGTTTTTGCCTTTAACAATCCCTGTTATGATACAGACTTTCGCTCTTATATGTTTACGACTAGAAATTTATGATTTACTCGCATGCGTTACGCGCAAACATGGACATGATGAGATACATTTGGTACCACAGACTATATGGTTCCCATTTATTTCGTTAGGCCTCAATCAAGAGTTCAGTTACACAGTAACAATTCGAGATCTTCAAAAATCAGAGGAATTACCAAAAGAGACGAGTGAGCGAAAATATTTTTCTGAAATTGCTATCTCGAAATAATTAGGAACCATAAATGATAGGCGGCTGTTTGAGAGCAGTACGCGCAACTAGCTAGATACTTAAAAAATGAATGATTTTTAAAAAATGGAAAAAAACCTATTTAGAGAACGTGATGTGTGTCAGTGATGTGTAGCAGAATTAAAATATTCTTATATATCATTATAAGATAACGTAAACACGGTATATATATAAATATAAAAGGGTTTTCTTTGCCTTAGCTTCTCTATATCTTTACAAATCTATTATGGTGTCGTCGTTCCTGTTGATAGGATCTCCCTTGAGCAACGCCACAATCATACTGGGGAACAAAAAAAAAGAATATATATAATACATTCCACTTCTCTTTTACTACATTTAAATAGAGTAACTGTAATTATGCGATACCTACCAATAAAGATAAATGAAAAAGAACACGAGGCAATACCCGAGATGAATCATGCTATCGCGCGTGTATCTCTTCAGCTGGCTGCGATTGTGAATCTCCGTGGGATCGTAGACCCCCATATTGCCGCTGGGAACGCTCAAGTACTCGTAAAACAACCAAATTGTCATCGGTATGTTCACCAGCGTTAATATCAACTGTCCGTGTATCAACAGGAGAAACACTAGAAACGTGTGCGCTATCAACTTTGGCAACACTCCCTGCAACAAAAATTAACGACGAATTTATGTCATGTTCGTGTAACAAAAGTTCATATAGGCTATGCGACATGTATCGTACCATATTTAGCTTGGAACAACATTCCTGCGCGTTCAGATAATCACACTCGAGATCCGACAGCGTTATAATCTTTACACTTCGGGTCAAGGAAGATAATTCTAATCTATAATTAATTAACGCTACAATTGATAGCAGAGAACGAGATGTAAGCGTTTTTTTTTCTTCTTCTCTTTCTGCCCCTATCTCGAATCTACTTCAATATAAACACTTGCGTCTCGTTCTCTACCGTCAGTCTACATTAAAGTTTCTAATCCTTTTCTTGCTTGTAAACGGAGTAAAGTTTGAAAACGGCGCCACTGCACGGCTGTCAATAGCGGGATAACCTCCCGTCGCGAAGAAAGTCCCTCGCGAGCCCGGTTCGACGGGGCCGTCGAGAGAGGGATCGGCAGGATGCGACCGGGTGACGAAAAGGATACGTAGTACACCAGGAGAAACAGCACGCAGCCCGTGTCGACCAGCGCGATCGCGAAGAGAAGCGGATCCGAGATCAGGACCATGACGCTGCTGCTTTCGCCCGAAAACGCGGCCGATTACATGAGACTCGCGTCCGCGGGTGCTCGCCAAGCCGTCCGCTCCGCAGACCGCAATTCCTCTCGTGTCCCAGTCGCGCGAGTACGCGCCGGCCTCGCCGATCAGACTCCCGCTGTAAACTTCCGGGCCAGGAATGCCAGGATCGCCGACTGTTGTTGACGAAAATGCATACACACTTCACGGTGTTGCCAATCGCACGAAACGCTTGAATCCCCTCCGATTCCACACGGGCGATTACACTGGGCGTCTCGCGGTGTTTACGCTTCTCAGGGACGACCAAATCCCGATTAACTTTATCAAGCAATTATTTACACCGTTTTGTTAACGCCGATAAGAGTGCGTTATTTGCCTATTTCGCTTGACGCACGTGTGAAAAGAAAGATCAGACATGATAAATTATATAAAATTAGAATTATTATTGTTCTGTTGATCTCTACCGACGTAGATTATTTTTATATCTCAGTTAAATTCTATTTGATGATTTTTATCCTCTTCTAAATTTATATAATTCACCAGTAGAAGACAATAAAAACTAAATTAAACTGAATAATAATAAGTTAATCTACAATGGTAGACATGGGACAAATGGGCCATATAATGTTGTGCCTTATTAATCTATCCTGTCACCTGTCAACCTGTGTGATTTTTTAATTATGTATTTTTTAATCTGTTGCGTCCATCTGACGGCGGTGCAGCATACTAAATTGTCAATTTCTGTGCTGTTTTATCTCCAAGAATAAAGAAAAAAAGAAGAAAGATACGTGGTGCAAAACGTTCAAAAAGAATAAGCTTATTAATTATGCACGTTGCTTGAAATCTCCAAAAATCTTTGCATTTGGAACAAAATAAGTATATATATTTAGACGCCGGAAAGACGAAAAGCGAAGACTCTAGAGTGCAAAAAGTGCAAACAATACGAACAGATGCCGGGGCCTTGGATTGTCGCGCATGCGTGAGAATATCTGGAAACATTTGGTTCCGCTCGTGCTGCTTGCACTTTTCGCACTCGGCCTCTTCGCTCTCTCTTTGTCCCACACTTGAACACATGTATTTATTTCGTTTTAAGTGCAGCACTTTATAGAAATTTCAAGCGACATAAACAAATTAATTGGCTCCATTTCTGTTGGCCGCTCTGCGATGCATCCGTTGTTCGAAAAATCAAACGATTTCTGTGTAGTATTTACGACTGTACAGTGACGGAGGTTCGTATATACCGTAGTTTCGTTCGATCTCAGAAAACACGGTGATGCTCGACGTACAATCATGGAGCTGTGGGAAAAAGTTATCTTAGAATGGGTGAGCAATAATTTTACGTACGACGAATATTAACACACGCAAAGCTTATACGTTTCTGTCACGGCGAGTTTCGTGTATACACACAATCATATGTCGAACTCTTTCGGCCTTCGCAGAGTTTTTCGTATCTTTTCACTTTTATCCTCTGTGATTTCTCTCATATAAATGTTCAGTCATTAATAATAAGTGTATTATTTTTACGAGTGTATAATTTTTATGATCCTAGAGCTTTAAACTACAGCTGTGTAATTGTATGCCCAAAGAGGGGAGAGGTATGTCTCTCAGACACAAATGTTTTAATTTACAGATCAATTGCTTGGAAGTGCAGAGAGAATCGGTGAAAAGTATAACAGAATTGCATGATGGAGTATTTTATATCTCTTTCCTGAAATTAATGTGAGTATTAATATGTGATTCCTGCGTCGCTATGCAAATATGTTACCTGAGCCTACTGTCATTCAATTCATCATGTTACAGAAAATGGAAGAAGCTTGAGGAGTTTGATCAAGAGGATATTGTGAAATTTATAGAGGGTAGGCATTTCTACGTTCGTACTGTTCCTCGTATTGTTCAGTTTCCTAACTAAATGCATCATCTTTAAGTCCTTGAATTAAAACAAAAAACAGAAATTTTTCTCTTTGAACTGGAGCTTTGAATTGTATATAATTAGGAGAAAATTAATATTTTGTTATATTATCTGTTTGCAGAGGAATATCCTTCTTTCAAAGTTAACAAAGATGATAACACGGAACATATATACATTGCGTCCCTGTTACTGATACATTTGTGTCGAACACTGTCTACGATATATCATTGTCTGCAGTATAACATGTGCGACAGCTTGAAAACGGAAACGCAAATTAGAGTTAAAGCCTTTCTGGAGAGTATTCTGCCTATTGGCAAGGATATTACCAAGGATACTATGAGAGAAGTTATTATGGAGGTAGAGGATATGTCGACGGCTGTGGAAAGCCGGAGAACACCGCCGATCGAGGGTTCCCCTTTTGCCAATTCCCCCTTAACGCGTTCGGGACGTAGCAAAAAGATTTTGACCGAACGAGTTCGGGAGTTGAGGGATTTGAAATGCAGCTTGGCGATAGAACGATTTAATAATGCGGATTTACGGGACGACATATCAAGGCAACACAATAAAATAAAGAAGCTGCAGAGGAAGCTTGACGAGAAATCGGCGAAGATAAAGGAATTGCGAGAGGACCGGATTCATTCGAGCACTCCGCAGCCGTCCCGCACGAGGGAGGACAATTCACAGGAGGAATACTACAAGAGGTATATTAACGATCTGGAAAATCAATTAAGTAAACAGCAGGATGAAATTACTAAACTGGAGACGGAGAAGGATGATATGTCGAAGGAGCTAAGTTGCACGCGTAGGATGTCGAAGCATTATAAGGAAAATTTCACGAGCTGCGAACAGTCCTTGGAGACTTTGACGAACAAAATTGAATTGAAGGACAGAGAACTTATAGAGCTTAGGATGCACAATGAAGAGTTACGCGTGCATCTCAAAGAATTGAATAGAAATCCAGACCAAAGTTTTGAAGTTGACGATTTTGCACAATCTGCCGCCGCCAAATCGTTTAACACTAGTGAAGTTCTAAGTACCGTGGTCGAGATTCAACTCCAGGAGGCCAGGGAAGAGTCCGCTATATTGAATGCTCAAGTTGATACCTTGAAAGGAAAATTGGATATTCTCACGAAGGAGTACAGAGCACTGCTGGAATCGAATAGAGACTTGCAGGAAAGAGTAAAGACGTTGGATCGGGTGCAGGCAGAATTAGATCGTGTGCAGAAGGAATTGGATGCCTCGAGCACGACTGTTGCAAATTTACAGGTGGAGAATGTCGCTCTCGTTACACAAACTGAAGATTTGAAAAATTTTCTTTCATCTACAGAGGAGAAATTGTCCGAGGTAGAACGGTCGAATATTGCACTGAATGCAGAATTGGACAGCTTAAAACTGGACACGAAGAGCTTGAGTGAGCTGTTTGAAAATGAAAGGGCCAATTCCTCAAATTTAAGCACTACTCTGGCGGAAATGAAATCACAGGTAACGGAACATCTTGCGTGCATTCACGAGCTCACCGATGAGAAGGATTCGTACAAATCTTCCATCGAAAATTGCAGTAAAAGTTTAAGAGATATTTTACACTGTGACAATCAATTTATACAAGTTGATAACGATAATTTAAATAACTCGACGCTCAATGATCTTACAAAATATATTGAAACAATGTTACATAATTGCAGTATGATGCGCGTTTCATACGAGAATGATGTCGAGAAATTAAAAACAACGATAGACGAAACAAATGCGAATCTGCGTGAGCAACAATTAACTATTACAACTTTAGAAGAACAAAATAAGCAGAATCTCAGGGAATTAGCTAATATCGAGGAAGAGAAGAATCAAATGGATTTCTTGTTAAATGAGCAAAAGGAAATTATCCGTTTGAATTCAGAGAAAATCGAAAGTTTAGAAGAGATTAAATGTAAGAAACTTATTTTAGAGCAAAGCGTGCATGAATTAACAAATAATTTAACGAATCGAGAATTACTACTGAAACACGTTGCAGTACAACTAAAAAATCTATATAACATAAATAAAGATTTCAAATTAATGAAAGAAGAAATTCAGCAAAATTTTATTGAACATCGAAAAAGTACGGAGCTAACATTTGAAAAATTGCAACACGAATATCACACGTTGCATGACAATTATCACAAAGTACAACAAGAAAAAGGGGAATTAGAGTCTAATTTCAACTGTAATAAGGAAGAATTATCAAAAATTTATGCGACAAACGCTACACTACAACAAAACTTATTAGAAAACAAAGAAAAAATTGATACTTTGGAAGAGAAGAAAAGAATTCTTTCCAACGAATTAAATGAATCCAAGCGTAGCGTACAAGAATTAAGAGATATAAATCAAACATTAGAAGAACTATACGCAGTAATGAATGCTGAATCAAATGATAAGCTGGAAAGCCTCAAGTCAGATAATGCTAAAATATTACTCGAGCTGAAAGATGCCACTGATAAGCTAAATTTATTACATCAGGAAATGAGCGATACAACGACGCAGATAGAATTGAAAGAAGCACAAGTTAACGAGTTACTTTCGAATGTGTCAGCTTTAGAAACGGAGAAGAACGATTTGATGCGCTCCCATAAAGAAATATTTGAAACGAAAGATAAGGAAATAGCAGGGAAAGAAGAGGAATTATCGACGTTACGAAATAAGATGGAAAAGCTGAACAGCGAAGCAAATGTCACGGAGAAGAAAATGAAGGAGATAATTATTAATCTTCAAGAAGTAAGATCCAGCCAAGATGCGATCTTGGCGACTCAAGAAGCAGCTCTGAAAGAAAAGTGCCTGTACATAGAAGAACTTCAAGAACGGTACGACAATTCGAAGGAGAACCTGAATAAAGAACTTGAAGATACAAAATTGACACTGCGCGAGAGCCGAAGTAAATTCTTCGATCTGGAAAATCAACTTAATAATCAAAACAGGACTATAGCAGAATTGCAAGACATGCTGAAGGCAATGAGCGCGGAACTTGAGACGAGTAAGGAGCACTGCAAGCGTATGGATGCCAGTCAAGTGGAAATTGTAAAATTGTGCCAAGAATTGGAACATCCAACGAAAAATTTGAATTCTACGATTACGGAAACGTGCTCAGATTTCGATTTACACGACGTGCCACAGTACGAGTGCATTAATATAGAGAATAAGTACAAGTGCATTAATGTAGACAATAACGCAAATATCTTGAATATTATCAAGATGACTCTTGAGGAATTACACAAATCTCAGAAAATTATCTCGCATTTAGCTTGTGTAAATGCGAAATTGAATGAAACTTTGGCACAACAAACAATACTTGTAGAGGACGGTGTAAAGGACAAAGAGGAGGTCGGCAGTCTCAAGAATAAGATACGAGAATTGGAAATAATAGCACAGAAACGAAATAACTATCTCAAGAACCTCATAAAAAATAAGGAATCTTTAAAGGAATCTTTGCAGAAAGTTTTCGCCACACGAAACGATTTAGATACTATTTTAACGTCGTCCAAGCAAAAGTGGAACGAAATATTGATCAAGTTTCAGGATATTTTTTACATTGAGAATTCCGTTTGCGACGAATTCAAACAGCTGCAAATTAAAAAGACAAGTCTCGAAAATACGTTGTTGAAGTGTCAAACTGATTATTCAGAGAGCGTAAAATCTATGTCCGATGTTTTGTGGGAGAAGTTCTTGTGGACGGAACAAAAATTACACGATACCTATTTATGTTCGATACATGAGAAGGAGTGTTTGGAGATACTAACTCATGTGGAAGAAGATCAATTTTCTAATGAGAAGACGATAATTGATATGCAATTGGAAAAATACAAAGCGCTGCAAACTGATGCAATAAAATCCGAAGAAGAGATTGACTCTTTCAGTACTTTGGTCACTGTTTACGACAACAACCTAAAGTCTGGCGAAATCAAGAGTCACGTAGAGATCGAGAAGAAACTACAAAATCAAATTAATCAGATGACAAAGGAAAAGAAGGATCTGAAAACTAAAATGGATACTATGCGTTTGAGGAATGTAAAATTAGAGAAGAATATCGATGATCTCAGAACGGAGATAAGAAAACTGAAGTCGACGGAGGCAGCGCCGGCGGAAGCTAGCTTGGCAATCTCTGAAGGATCTGAAGTGCAATCCCTGAAAGAGGAGCTGGAACGTTTAAAAGAGCAGAACCAACAGCTACATGAAGAGAAAGATGAGGCGAGCAAGATGGCAAAGCAAAAATTGGAAAATCAGTTAAAAGAGATTCATGCTACGTATGAACAAAAACTGGAAGATATGAAACAACAAATGGTAGGTAGAAAAATATCTATGTTTAAAAATTTTGAGATTTATGTTTCACGTGAACGCTACTTTAATATTAATACTTTACGTTAATTTATATTTATAGAAAATAGCCTACAACGAGCAAATGACAAAGTTAAGTAAGGATCAAGAGAAGGTCGTGCAAGAAAAGTTGCAGAATCAAATGGAAATAATGTGCCAGCGACAGAGGGAGGAACTCAATAGATACAAAGCACACGTTGGCGAATTAAGTTCGCAACTTTGGAGCGTGGGTGAAAAGCTCCTGATTGAGCAACAAGAGAAGCAAGACGCGTTACAGCGTTTAAAGGAACTAGAGATCACGGTCAAAGAGTTACAGACGAATCAACCAGTCACAATTTCGCGCAAGACTTGCAGGTACGCGCAAATTTTTTATGAAATTTATTATGAAAAAAATTATCAATTTTTAACGATTGATTGATGTGTTATAGAATGGAAAAGAAGGAAATGTTACCTGAAAACTCGCACCAAGCACATAAAGTAACAACGGTTTTAACTGAAGAAACACTCGAAAGAAGGCATAGCATTAGAAGCATACAAACGATGGGCAATGCATTCAAAACGGAAGATGAGGAAGAAATCTTCGACAATGTTTATCTAGGTATATTTCACACATTGTAGATACTCTAATGTCGATAAAAAATTAAATTTTATTTTTCCACGTAATTAATCATTTCTTTTTATTCCAGCCGATATGAAAAGGGGCAATTTTATGCCGATCTCAGATGTCAACCGTTTGTCTGTTTTGCAAATGAGAAACTCTCTTTGCAAACCTCATCTGAAATCCTCTTATCCGGCAGAAATGCAGTTTATTCCTTCAACCTTAACCGAAGAAGAGATCAAAGTAAGTTTCTCCTTAATGTCTACATTAACATCTTTAGAATTCTTATCGCGTATATTAAATATTTTGTTAATTTCGAGTAACATGTCTCGTTTGTTTATGTGATCTTTTATAGACGGGCTCTGCAGAAGAAAACTTTAACGATAGTCTTAGTCAGAGTCTTCTCCCGGAGCAGAAAGCCAGGAAGAAGGATAGAACTCAGGTAAGCATCAAGTTGTGTGTGGCTATCATTTTATGTAGTAATCGTCTCGTACTCAATGTTTGCGATTTCTACATTCATCATTAGATATCGTATAAAAAGCCTGGTCCTCCAACACCAAGCAAAAACGGAGGAAGATTATCATTGCAGGTATTTTGCATATCGTATATGTTATTATCTTGCATATACTGCATATGATTGCAAAAAAAAATATCTGTTCGAGAATTCGCTAAAACTGAAAGGAATTTGTTTTTTCACAACGCTTTTATTGCGCACGTGTATCACTATAAAATTATCACTAAATATTTTTTTTAACAATTTGCGTTAGAGTAATGAAGTAAGAAGCCCAAACTCACGTGTGCTGAGGGAGCGAAATGTGGATAGAAAAACAACGACTACTCCTCATTCACTGAAGACCATATTCTCACTGAAACGGCAAGATGAAGTGAGTAACGAAAAAGAAATATGAACGATTTTATATTAAACGACATTAATATGTTGTTTTAAAAAACATATTTTTCTTACAGAATGCAACTAGCACGCCAAAACGCCGACTCAGTAACCTTTTTCGCAAATCTCGTTTACAATCAGATCGATAAATAAATATCATAGCCATACGACTACGTATAAAAAGGCAATACAATGTCTTAGCGTAACAAACTAGGAACTCTATAAACTACAGATTGTATTAATTGACGTTATATAAATAATTGACATCACTGCAATATTTATATTGTTGATATCATGTGAATTAAGAATTTATAATAATTTATTCTATTACTGTTCTTATTTTTTTTACCATTCTGCATTGAAAGAAGATTGCGTGTAGAAATTTCATGTAATTTACGTGACATCAGCAATATAAATATTGCAGTAATGTCAATTAATACAATCTGTATTTTTTTTTGCTCTTAAGGTTTTCACGAGTATTCTCTTCAAAAGTGCTGGGAAGCTAGTGGAATATCTTGTCTTGTTTCATTGTTAATATCAACGTTTCATGAACAATGCTGTTCACTTCATCAGAGCGAAAAGCCTCCTGATACGGTATCAGGTTGCTTCTCGCCCTGATAAAGTAAAGTAGAATTATTCACGAAATGTTGACAGTTAACTATGCAATATGATGAGACAACTCACCAATTTCTTAGCACTTTTAAATCGATAGTTATAGAGCTTCTAGTTTGTTGTTGTGCTAACATATTGTATTACTTTTATACATAGTCTCCAGAATTATTATATATCATTCTACGTTGAAAGAAGAATGAGAATTTATTGTAACTCTTTGCAATATGTGTAATAAATGTGTAAATATAGAATGTGTCACATAAATAATTAACATTTTATAAATCTATATAACACATTCAAGTGTACAAAGCATTATCACAAAATGTACAGGAAAGGGAAATATAATTGTGAAAGTATCCACTTATCCATGTACAATGTATTCGCAAATAAAACTATATTAGATAAATTCTTCTTTATCTATCGTATCCTCCGGACGTTTGCGAACTTCTGCATATATCCGCAGACACATGGGACTTACGGTCTCCATTTTAGCGCCGGTTGCGAACGGCCTTTTAGAAGAGGTGTTTCTTGGCAGAGACACTCTCAATGATTTGCCGTTGCCTTCCGAGAGGAATGGTGATCGATTAAAAATTCGATAATGTTCCGGGTGGACCCGGATCTTTGGCACGGAAAACAGACGTGCAGGCTCCTATGCCACGATCATGGTAGAAATACATTATAAAAAAAAATATGTATATAAATATGTATATGTATATACATATAATATGTATATGTTTTTAAATATGTATTTCTACCATGGCCACGATCACCACATACTAATAAATTGTATTTGTTTATTTCAAGAACTACTATTAAATGGTTGATAAACAGACTCAGAGATAAATATAATTTCCTTATAATATGTAGTTTTATATAAAAATGGAATACATATATCGTATTATTTATATAACATGACATATTATGAAATAAACTCAATTCTGAAAACTTAAAATTTTTTTTTATAAGTGTAACTTTGTAACATAATGTATTCATCTATCAAAATGTATTAATACTCGCTCTAAAAGCTTTATATTACCTACATAAGTTAAGTATGTTTTTTTATATTTCTCAAATCGCGTAGCTGCTTTGAATACATATCACAATACTTCAATCGTCCAATTATCTAAATTCAAAAGTACGAGAGAGCGAAGTTTTTAACGATATGATGTCTCCTACTCGGAATCAGATTCCTGTAATTAATTTGAATAGATATATAATGTCATGTAATTCGTAGCATTACGTGCTCATTGTGCGCATTGTAATATCGTACGAACTTACCATATATTGCCCCTCAACGTATCTCCCTGAGTTTCTAGAGGTTCTCCGCAATTCCCTGTGCTCCACGTGCTCTTGACTTCGCCGTCTGTCACAAAATTACGTGTTCCGTTTATTAATAATCTGAAAATATAATATAACACACGACAGCATACTTACGATCTCGACTGGATTTGTAAAGACTTAAGTCTGTTATCGATGTCCTGTGAAGGACTCGTCGAGTTGTCTTCTATAGTTGCCGAAGGAGATGTTTGCATTTGTGCAGTGTCATTATTTTCATAGAAAGCATTTGCTTTGGGTCCGCGTATAACACCTTTAACTGGTGATCTGAAAAATAAAATGATTATACCGACATTTATTGAATGCATTTTATTATTTAAAAATGATTTATATTGTAATTGGTCTATATTACTTTTTTTCTTTTCTATTTAGTTAAAAAAAAAATATATATATATATATGAGATAATAAACTCACTGATTTTTCCGTGGACCGCGCTTTTTCTTCTGTTTGCTGAAATGAAAACGCTCATTTTCAGGTGCAATTATTCTGACTATTCGAGATAAAGGGACAAAAATATCAGAATATAAGAAATTGTCACATGCACATGATCACATACATATGATCGATTTGCATACTCAAATTATATAGTTCATACATACATATGTACTTGGAAATTTTTTTAACATTACTTTTTTGGTAAGAGTGAAATATTAAAATCGATGTAACGTTATCAAGAGATGATACAGATGAATAATAATATATTTGTGAAGTGATGGGTATAGAGAACGGCGTGTCATGAAGAGGAACATAGGCATCATTAATTTCAGGAAACATGAAGCACATATAAATGAATAACTTTTTTATTTTGCTATGTATTAATAATTGATCAAATACGTTTTCTCACGCTTTTCAATTCCTCTATAATTTTGATAAAATAGGATCTAGGAGCGCTGGGAGTAGAAGGTCTTATTCGAAGCAATATTTATTCATATGTCTATCGCACCAATTTGTATTATTAATATATAAATAAATACAAAGGTTTTTTTTAAGCTTACGTGCTTTCAATCTCGATAAAATACACACATCGTTCTCTATGCACTATTTCTTTTCAATTATCTCAAAAATATGATACGACAATATTATGCATTTGTGTTAATAGTTTCTTATTTCTAGTTCAGAAATGCTTTGTTGTTGAAACAAGCACGAAGTATACTAGAATACATCGAAAATATCTTGTACAATTTTTGTCCCTTACATATACATTTTTAAATATACACAATTAAATCTAAAAATATATTCTTAAACTCTTATAACGATCAGATCGCCTGTATCAAGCGGTTAGAATCACTACTCATGCAGACATGTAAATGTATACAAAAAAAAATATATTTTTTTGTTTAAAATATAGTGATTTAAAGTAACAATAGATATTTACAAATTAAGCACAAGCATGCAGTTATACTGCAAGAAGAACGCAATTTTATTTTATAAAAAATATACAGCTTATGATTGAATCATTCATCAATACTCTCTTTTTCTCTCACACACACTTTCTCAATAATACTTCAACTGTTTTGATATTTTAAAATTATGATAATTATAAATTTTAACGTATCAAAATAATAGAGTTTAACAATGTACGATTTATCATTACCCTACATTATAGCTTTTTTTCATAAATTTATTGTAGTCGTAATGTATTCAAATTTCATGAACATACCATAATATTAATAAAGCATTAATGAAAAAAATAGCAATAAAATAAAAATATTATTAGTAATGGAACTGCTGCTACCACTACAGATCTACATTTTGCAAGCAACATTAATGTCTTGTAGCAAAAGAAGCACATTAGTATGTGCATAGAATATCTGCGCGCTTTCAATTTTATAAATAATACATATCATCCACAGTGTAACTTGCACTGCAAAAGCTAGTAAAGCATTTAGTTTTTATTGCAATGATATATTCGAGCGCTTGCCGATTTTTCTTTGTTATCGAATAAATTACATATAAGTGTTACTTGCAATTATAACTAAGACCATACTAATAAAATCTAACAAAAAAAGAATATTATATTAGATTTCTCTATATTCGGGTACATCCAACTCACCCAGCAAGTTCGTGATCGGAACCTTCATCAGGTTCATCAGCATCCTCTTCTTCTGCAAAGAGAAATATTATTGTTTAGACGATGAAGACAGGGCAACTTAAAATTACCTGATAATCTTAATGCTTCTCTAATTACAACTATGAACGCAAATATTTTTGTAATTATCGACGTTTGCGTCTGGTCCAGTCCCAGTCAGAGTCCGAATCCGAATTCGAATTCGATTCTACAGCATTAAATGATTTTGTTCTTTTGCAAAAAAAAAACGGAAAAAAATATGAACCTTGTACAGTATTAAAAATTACAATACATTTACCAATTTATTGTATTTAATTAATTTCGGAAAACGGAGTTGCGTTTACTGAATACATAAAATATAATCAGAAGCGCTTTTTAAGATAGCCACAGTGAATCGAAATCTTTTACCTGCTAAATGATCTTTCTTGCGTCTTGTGTAAGCTCGTTTACTTGTAACTGGAACTTGATCAGTTTCACCGTGTAACAAGCTGTTTCTGTACAATAGTAAGGGCTGCCAATCCTCTCCTCGTGAAGACGGCATGCCAGCTTGTAGCCGTCTATCCAGAAAGTTGAGTCTGCAATTAAGCACATCATATTAAAGTGTATAAACTTGGAGAAAAATACTGGCAAGTTTAAAATGTAGTACTTACACTAGACGTTTATCCTGCTTGAGCAGCTTGTTCGTGAATTCCGACAGTATCTCGAGGAACGGTAAATTCGGCGGCGGACCTGTAGGATCCTGCTCGACACCATCCGGCGGGGTAATGACGAATAACACTCCCGCACGGTGCAAGGCCGTGATCGCTTCGCGATTTTTCACGGCGTCCAAACCGAAGGATAAGGCAAATCGCTTCGCGAGTTCCTAGACATAAAATTACACTTTTAGCACATTTTATCTCTTATCGTTGCGCTACGAAGCGATTACATCGACAAATACATTACCTTTATCGCGGTAAATTCTTCGCTGTTCCTGTTCACCTTGCCTTTGTCGGCCATAATCTCGTTGTACAAGATATTTAAGCTTTGTTGCATCGTTAGCGCACAATTCGTTTTGTTGATGTCCCTCGCTTTCCCTAACGTGGTTTTAATAATATCGCCATAGTCATTGTAATACTTGACGTAATGCTTGAACACATCCGCCGCAGCTTTCGTGGGGATCATGTTGTATACGATTAACTTGCAATAGCCAGCCAAGAAATTTCTTCGTTTGTGCAGCTCCTCGATTTTAGAGTGTTCGTCATGCTCATCTATGAAGTAAATTTATATTATAAAAATATCTCCACAAGCTTGTTTAATATATATTAACTATTCATTCGAGGCGTTGAATAGCCTAACGAAAGAACAATTATCAAAGCAAGATCCGGGTTCAAATCCCGGTCTTGCCGCCTCACATAAAAGAAATTTTGTTTGGAGAAGATATTATTTCGTTGTGAGAGAAATAAAATAATCAAAACAAATTTCAGAATAACATAAACAAATCATGTGTATTGAAAGATTCAAATGAAAATAATAAATCACTTACCGTCTTCCTCTTCGGAGAAAACATACTCTTGTATAAATCTATTGAGCATATTCTGCATTGCTTGGTCCGGCTCGTACACCAACTGATGCATCAAGGGATTAGAGTGCGTAGTCAGTTGGTTGCAGAATACCACCAACAGATCGCATATGGTATTGTACGCAACTTCCCTTAAGATCGGTGGCGTCGGCTGCTCAATATGTCAAATATCACTTATAAAATATTTGACAACATGGTCTTGTTTTCGCGCGAATTTATGTTAAAATTATAATTACCGCGCTGCTACTATCGCCACTGACGAAATGGCGCATCGAACCCATAAATGAGTGCAGTCGTTCCTTCAACTGCCGGCACTCGTCCTCGCCACGACTGCCCGAGTCCGCAGCGTCCATCAGATGATTCTCGCCCCACAAAATGGCAAAGAAGCATGCGCTTATGCAGTATTTAACTGCCTTGTGTGGTAAACATCTGTATATAAGTAATATGGTTTAGAATATTTAAAATATTTCGTGTGTGGTTATCGTAAGTATAAAAAACGTACTTTGCAGGATCCTTCGCATCCTCAATATCCTTATACAATGAATCCCATATACCCCAAGGATTCATATTGTGACAGGCGTAAAAGATGGAAACTTTTTTAAGTGATTGGACAACGTTAAATATTTCATCTTCGTCCGGTTCCTCATCTCCCTCAATCAAATTTCTGTATTCGTCGATCGCTTCTTTATACTTGTTTACAATCGAATCGATTAAAGTTGAACGAGCGACGTCGCATCTATAAGGAAATAATTTGAATACCAAATGCTTTAAACAGATATATAATTTGAGAAAAAAAAAATATATACCTGGTGAAAATAGCATGGCCCTCCACGCACATGTTTTCTAAAGTTTTGGCCGCCGTATCCAGTACTTCGGTATCGTGCATCTTCTCCACGATCGTGTGAATTTTATTCAACAGAGAGTCTAAATTCATTTCTTGTCTGGATTTCGTGTAAATATCCAAATCGAAGTATTGCGGGATCGCGAGTAAATTCGCCAGTTTCTCGGGATCGGCTCTGTACTTGTCGAGTAACAGCGGTAACGTTTGAATGAAGTGTTCCGTCAATTTTTGCTTATCATCGAAAACTTGTTTGAGCTCCTTCACCGACAGGATTTTTCGAGTAGGTCCACGGCCGACCGGCGCTTCGCCCGTAGCGGCCTGCTTTATGCAACACACCATCAATTCGATGAGGGACGTTTCTTTCTGATTGTCCAACGCCTCCTCGTCGGGGCCGGCCTCCTCCAGCAGAAGATCCGTCATACACTCCCAATCTTTCATCATTTGGTTAGTTTCGATCAGGGAATCGACCAGGTACGCCCCGTGCTCGTGTAGCTCGGATTCGATGAAGAACAGGACAAGATCGCGAATAAGCGGCGTGTTCGGCAATCGTTTCTTGCCACGTCTGGTCTTAACGTTCGCCATTGCATGGTCTTCCAGACGGAATAGGCGCTCGTTCAGAAATTCCCCGGCCGCCTGCGCAACCGCACGATGCGAAGAATAGACGAGCTCGTACACGTGTTCGCAGTCCTTATCAGTGAGGATCTCTCTGTGATGTTTCAGGATCGAGATAACCAGTTTCACAGCCTGCACCGCCACGTCGTATTCCTTGTCCAATGTCATCGCGACGATTCTATCCTTGAACTTGCTCGTGAACAACTCGAGCTTCGTTTTCAGTTCCTCCGACGCGTACAACGGTTGCAGTGCCTGCAAGCACTTGAGCCTAACCTCTCCAACTTTATCATGTAAAGTCCAGCCTGCAAAATTCGTATCAACACATGAAAATCTATGTTAACCGTGCGGCTTCTATTTTTAACGTGTAAAAATAGGAAAAATATTCTGTACCAATATATTTCAAATAGGAGTCATCTAAGAAGTTTTGGTGGAACTTCTTCATCCAGACTCCAATCTCCGCCATACAAATCGCGCGTATTTCCGGCAAGGTATCCCTGTATCTGTGAACGAAAACGGACTTGAACATGTATGTGAGCATGTTCTTTATTTCGTCCATATTCTCTTCCAATTCCTTCCGCTTTGCCATCAAGGACTCCAGTCTGTCCGCTGCCCTCTTCTCCCGAGCCTTTTGCCTCTCCGCTTCATACTGTCGTTGCGTGTTGTCCAAATTTATGGATACAGTCAAAGCAACATCTACCAACGCCGTCATCAGTTTCATGGCTACAAATAAAATTGTTTCATTAATAAGTATATATTTGGGCTCGCAATAAAATTCTGTAAACACGGTTACTCAGTTTAGAAATTTACCTGCAAGCGTTGCAGTATGTCTGAACGCTCTCACTTGTGAGTCCGACAGTCCAGTTAATAAAGAAATAACGTTGTCCATTAAAAATTGATCGTAAATAATCGAGTACTGGCACTGTCGAACGAGGATCTGAACGAATTCACAAAAGTTTGCGCGGAACTTCTTCCACTGTTGTCCCGTCATTATCAACGGATATTCACCACTTTCCTGTAGAATAGAAAATTGTATATAACCACAAAGTTAGAATCTCTATCAGATATTATAATCTGAGAAACAGACCTCGTCGAATTCCTCGGTCATCTTGCGAATAATCGCCACATGTTCCATGGTCAGCTGCATCTCGGAAGTGATGCGACCTTTGCAGCCGCTTGCGTTGATGAAAAACTGCATCAGCATAAGCAGCGCGTTCTCTCTGTTACTTTTGTACTTTTCTATCCAGTCGTCGACAATAGTCTGCCAAGCAATTGTAAATTTGTAGTAGACTTCTTTGATACACGGCTCTCCCTCGTGCACTTATTAATACTTATAAATCAACGTACGGTGAGCGACGAACGATTATTTCTAATAACATAATAAAGACTAGCTTCGTCTTCCAAACTGTGCGAATGATGCGCTCTCTTGTTACGTCCCCGTCCACCGCCGCCTCTGCCTTTACCACTGGGCAATGGAACGTAGTCCGTGTCGACTTCTTTGTACTTGGGTTGCTGCACCACGTTTCCTTTAATGTGAAGAATTACAATCCACATCTCCCGTTGCCAAAGTCTTTCGTACAAATATCGTCAAAGAAACACGTTCGTACGTACCGCGCATCCTGGCGCGCGTGTTCCTCGTGATCCTCATGTTAGAGGCTGCCGGCGTCGCGGGAGCCTCGAATTGCGTCTGATTGTCAAAGTTTCCCGATTGCTCCTGGTACTGCTGCTGAGACGTGCCCGGCGAGGAGTAGCTCTCGGAGGAGTAATGCTCCGGGCTGCAAATATATACAAACACGTTACAAATCACGTCTGTACTCGGAGGCGTTCAATGATCCTCGCGATAATAGAACGCCGACGTGGGGCTACTCACGTGGGGTTGTGCAGCGGAGTCTGGGACGCCTGGTTGTACGGCGTGTACGGGTTGTAGTCGTTCGCGTCCCCGCCGGAATTGTCGTTCATCGGCGTCATCGGTGTCATCGGCGTCTCGTACTCCGGCGGCACCGGATCGTCCATGCGGATCCGCTTGCCTCCCCGTCTGTGCATTATCGCGGTGTGCTCTACCGTTCTACGGTGCCGTCCCAGAAAGAAGATCCGCGTTCCCGGGTAAGCGCGCGCTCGGCCGCGATAACCGCGCGTTAAGTCGCCATAACCGCCGCGCGTAAACCTTGGTATCTGCCGAGTCTCTCATTAAACGCGTCGAGACACACCGTTCGGGCACTCCGATGGAAAGCGGATAGGGATCCACGCGAGGGATACTCCTCCCTTCGCGATCCCTCGACGTTCTCCTCTGTTATTGACGCCCGAAGATAAACGCTCGATCAAGTTCAACGGTCAATTCCCGCGATATACTGGATTATTGACGGTAGTTAACGTCCGAGAACGCCGATGTGCCAGTATTGCCAATACACTAAACTTACGAAACGTCGCAGGCGAGCTGGGGACATTCAGGACCCCGCGCATTTCGACGGACAATTCCATTGGCCGCTCGTTTGGAAATTTCCTAAATATCCTTAGATCCATGGAAACGCGCCCGCCATTCTCTTCCAGGCGCAATTTGAATCGTCCGTCTCTCTTCTCACAACCTTCATTGACGATCCTCCGCGCGCGATGAAGAGAGGTGGATGATGCCGTGAATGCCGTCTCGCGTGTGTGCGGACGCGCGTTTAGAAGTGGCGACAGGTAATTCGAGATACGTTCAACGGCGAGACGAGGGTCCTCGTCGTAATCCGTAATATGTAGTTTATCGATTTTCAGATCGCGAGCCGAGTCCCCTGAGAGGTTTCGACGATCATCCATAATTCCTTTTCGAGGCGTCGGTCGGCGGTCGGCGGTCGCGATCCAGGCTGCTGTGACGGTAGGTCCGCGACGCAATAATACAAGACGCGCCTCTGCGCTTTTTCCACTCTTTTTATTACTCATATACTTTCGTTGTTACAATGATACGTAAGATTATACAGATTGATACTCTACAAGTTAGTTTTGATAAGAAATAAGAGAGAGGCGCGGATTCGATATAACGCGTTTCCGCCGTTCGCGCGGACGCCGACTTTCCCGTGGGAGTGCGATACTTCTCGTGTCCCGAGTCGAGGACGGTTGAACGCCGATCTTAACTTAATCGGCGATTCGTTCGATTGATAGAATTGCTTGAGCAAAATTTCCAATTGTGTATATATATATATAATTCGTCGTCGCTAAAGCTTCTTAAACAACACGTTAATATATATATATAACTCAACAGAATTTAATAATTCTACCCATGTTAACGAAACAGCATTACTTGATAAGTGATAATCACCGATTAAGTTAATCGAACGTTGCCCTTCAGAAATTCCAATTGGCACTTTTTTCAACATATTCTCACGCAGATTTTCAATATTGCACATTTACTTCGGTTTTACAAAATAATTTTATGTTTGCATTTTTCTGCGCGTTCAAAATCGATGCTTAAAATAATTGCATCTTGCATGTCCTTAAGTCATATTAAATTATTATTAAAAAAATCAATTATAACGATGACCCGTACAGATTACAACAATTTTATAACAAGTTCTTATGTAGCTCAGTAATAATAATTTGCAAGTTATGCGACAATTGATTGGAATTGCGGTTGCAGTATTGATGATGATAATTGATATAGTTTGTAGCAAATTAATTGATACACGATTCGTAATTATTTAATCGATGATAATAAGTGACTTTTGACGACGCGCGCGATGTAAGCGAAAAGTCGGCGTTTTTTTTTTGGAAATGTGGAGCGAACGGCGATCGCGAACCCGCGTCGTCGATCGGTTAATCTGCGGATACAGAGTATGAAATGTACAAAGCGGGCGTGTGTCTCTTGATCCTCTTCTCTCGTGCCGTGCGCACGCTTGATTGCCTATCTTTTTTTCTTTTTCCTAAGACTACGGCTTCTCGCGATTGGCGTTTACTTTCTTCCTTTTCTTCTCGCGCGATTTGCTCATCGCACTTACCGAAATCGTGCGGCCGCGGTGTACGGCGCCGCGCGAAATAATCGCCGTGCGACCGAAATCATTAAGGCGGAATCGTTATTTAAGTACTACGATATAAGTTTTGGCACTTACAGATTTACGATTGCACTAATTGCGAATGGTACCGGCCGCGCTTCCGAGGAAAAACGCCCTTCCTCTACACTATGCGTGTAAACATTATGTATAATATTTGATATCAAATCTCCGTGCGGCGCAGGCGAGAATCGCAGATTCCTCGCGATCGTTTTTTTCCTCGAACCTTTCTGCGTTATCCGCGCTCCCTGGGGACGGTATTGCTATTAATTTGTCAGCTGCTCGCGCTTTAATGACGCGCGATAAAGGCATTGTTTCCCGCACTATCCACTGCGATATTATCTTCGTTCGAAAGAATTTTTTTTTTTTACAAGGATCTCCCTGCCTACACATCGCGTTACGAAACTTCGCTGTGTACCATTTTTAGTCTTACTGCGCTACGAAGGCCTGGAAGTCCTTTTATCGCCGTGACTGCGTGAAAATTAGTAATGAAAAGTGTAAGTATGCGTATAGGAAAGTGGCAGTGCTTTAATTCGGAAAAAATTTCCCACCTCTTCCTCGCTCGCTCGTGGGTCGCGCGTAACCGTTGCACGCGAGAAATGTTGCTTTGACAAATCGCTTTAGCTCGAGTAAAGCGATGCAAAACTGTCGACGTTGCGATACGCGCGCGTCTCTCAATCTATAAATTTCGAAATTTGAAAAGATCTATAGGTGTACTTTAGAAAGTGTACTCGCGAGCGATTGCCGTCTCATTTTTAATGCAAAACGTAAAATATGTCTTGCCCGTCTGTTACTTGATTACACGATTTACACGATAATTTAATCGAAATTCAGTGTATAAAAAATACAATCAGTAATTCAATAATGGAGAAATTATTTTGAGATAACATTTTTTTAAGAGAGGCGGATATTTTGCTTAATAAGGCAAGCGATGTTAATAAGCGAGATTGAAAATTTTGATCGTATTAATCCAGATATGCAGATAACATAAGCAAAATTGGCAACAGCGATTGTTCGGGAACGCTCGTTAAAAAAAAAGACACAGAGAGGAGAGAGATGTACGTAAAGCGACAGATCGCTGGTAACTGTTACGCGTGTTCCGTGTGTAATATTTCTTACGCAAGCCGTGGCCTTTTTTCCACTAACAAACAAAAGTAAGAGAAAAAGTATAGCTCTCTATCCTCATGTATGAGAAGCAAGGCGTTAGTGACGTTTCATCGATACTGCTCGCCTCGAGGCACGTTGTTTTTCATGGACGCAATATGTTCGGGTGGGACGCAAGGCTCCTTGTCCCACCCTCGTGGTACGATATACATAATCGACGGATGTACAAGGGAAAAAGGGGGATTGAAATTCAAACGAGGCCGAAATCCGTGTGAACGGTGACGTCGCAATTGTTGGGCTTGTCGGCGGCCGCCATGTTCACCTCCACCAAGGTGTCGACGCTGTTAATCGGGCAGCCCTTGAGGATCTTCTGCGCCGCCAGGCTGGTGAACTGCACCTGCATGTCGCTGAGGCTGGGATAGGAGTGCAAATCCGAACCTCGGCTCACCGTCTTCTCCAGGTTGGGCTCGGAGCCCTGAGGCGCGCGCTGCTTCGCCGTCTCGAGGTTCTCGATGTAAACGTCGTTGAAGGAGCCGCCGAAGCCGTCGTAAGACTTGGTGGGCGACGGCGGGTTCGAGGCGATGTTGTTCTTCGAACCGGGATGAAGTAGATTGCGGTAACTCAGCGCGTCCTTCGAAAGCGACAGGCTAAGCTTGCGCGAATTGTTCATCGCATCGTTGGTGTTCTTCGTGGCGGACAACGCGGCAGCCTCGTGCGTCGCCAGGGCGTTCTTGTCGACGTTGTTGGTCGAGCCGTCGATCAAGTGGGCCTGGCTGTTGTTCAGGCGGTTCGTCAGCTTCAGCTTGTTAGGCACTTCGTCCTCGACCTTCGGCTTGTTCTCCTTGTCGGACTCCGACAGCAGAAGACCCGCTTTCGGCTCCTTCGGCGCGTAGAGCGACGACGGACGCTCGGCCTTGACCGGCTTGTTCAGCTTCTCGTCGTCTAGCTTCGATTTGAAAAGCTTCTCGTCGTCCACCCGGGTCTTGTAGGCCTTCTCGGTTACCAGTTCTCTCTCCTGCTTCTCCTTGCAGTCGATGACTTCCTTCTCGGCAATCTTCGTCTTCACCGTGCCGTTCTCGAAAGTGATTACGGACCTCATCGGGGAGTTATTCTGCTGAACGTAGATCTTCGTGCCGGGCGAGCCGGAAATGGTCGTCGTGCTGGTCGTGTTGGAGGCCAGCGTCACGCTATTCTGTATCGTCCGTTGCTCCTGCGACGACGGGCTCAGATTGGTGGACACTTGTAGGGTTATCGAGTTCTGCGCCTCTTGCAGGGGAGTCAGCGAACCTTGCTGAACGACTTTGAGCGGTGACGATTTCGTCGATAGCGTGGCCGTTTTCAATGGCGAGCAAGTTAATTTCGCGCTGGAAACTGACTTGCCGCTAGAGTGAGACGAATGACCCGATGACGTTTTTTGCAGCGCCTAAAAATTTTTTTATTCAGGGGAATAAAAAAAAATTAAAAAAACAAAGAAAATTAAAAAATTGAAAAGTTCGAGATTGCAAAGATTAATCATTCAACTGCTATCTAAAAAGAATATTAAAATTTTAAATCTTTTGACACATTTTTAAGAAACAGATGGAAAATTTACGAGTATCTTCTTCCATCGAAGAAAAGTATACGCGCATGCAAATATTTCGTTACATATTCATAACGGAGTTACAAATCCACCTTATGCTGCGGAGAACCGTTGACCGACTTAGTGCCGCCGTTGCTGAAATCGTGACTCGGTCTTCTGGAGTTGGATTGCCTGGTGTTGGGCCTGCCCAACGTAGTCGTCTTAGCCGGGCTCGCATTCATCGTTCTAACCGAGCCAGAGCTGCCGCCGCTTCTGCTGGGCGACGAATTCGTCGAATTTTTATCATTCTGCGTCTGATTACGCGCTTGATAGCTCTCCTGATGGTTGGTGGTGCTGGGCGGTAGAACAGACGCTCTGGACGTGCATCTGCTGAGGCTGGAGCATTTGGATCTCGGCAGAGTGGAGCACGGTGATCGATGCCTTCGGGAGCTTCTTGGCGTCGAGTTGGCCAACAAACTCGAGGAGTCACCGCTGGCTTGGCGCCGATGTCGCCTTGGTAAAGTGGCCGATCGCACCGAGCTCGAGTCGTCCCACACTTGGAAACTGGCCTGCGATTGGTCTAAACCCTCCATCATCTGAGAAGCAAATTCGATCGATCTAATTTCGCGACTCGAAATTTCTTGGCAAGAATCCTTGTTTTCCGCCTCCAATTCAATTCTAACTAAATTATTTGAATCGTTTATATACTGTCTTTATTCATTACTATTATTAAATTTTCAAGTTCAACATTATTGATAGCTCGGCACGTTGTCGCCTCAAGAATTTTCATTAATTGTCAGGGGAACCGGTTAATTAGCCTCGCGGCGCTAGGAGTACAGCGGCAAAAAGTTTTGTCTTGCTGGTTTTCTTGTTGGGAAATACCTGCATGTATGCAACTTACCGAAGGGCTGGCGGCCCTTGTCTGCGTGGCAACGCTATGCAAATGCACGACGCGCGGATTAAACCACTCGGTGGGGGGATACTGAGCACTGAAAGTGCCCATTAACGGTGCGCCCTTCCTCCTTGTGCTCCGCCGAAAGAGCCTGGAGAGCAGGCCTATCTTCTCTGAAAAAATCCCAGAAAAGCCTTGAGGAAGGGATTTGGATTATGTTGCGCTTTGTTAGAAGACAACGAGGATCGAGAAAGGGCTTGCCAGCTACAGAGTGACTAAGAGGCTATAATCTGGATTGTATTATGTGATCTATATATATCTATAGGATATTTCGCAACGGTTACAAATTGTTTATAATTGTCTTAATATAACCGGAGCAATATATTAGAAATTTTAAGGTTGCGACAAAAGAAAATCGTTCGAATCTCATCTTGCGAATGGAAGTATAATTACGCGAAAGTTCTTGGCTAATGCAAAAACTCCGAAATTCTACTTTTGAAAGGACAGTTATAAACAATCGAAAGCATTTTTAACAAAAACCGATTCATCCATCACCCATTTAAAGCAGTCACCCATCACCACGCAATCCCTTCCCCGATTAGACTCACTGGTCGGACTGTGAGGCGCGCTGTCCGTGCTCGCGTATTCCGCACTGGAAGACGTATCGCTTCTTTCGGGTCGTCGCGGTAGAGACCGTGAACTTCCGCTTCTGTGTAAACGTCTGGCCGAGCCCCAAAGCCGCAGAGAGTGTCGCCTCTCGAGGCGGCCGGGCATCGACCGACACCTGGCGAACAGGACTTTATCGTTGGGATTTCCTGGAAGGGAGACAGACATAATTGTTTTTAACGTTTTATTATATAAAATAATTATATATAAAACGAATGAAATGCTTAAAAGAACATGCAACACGAGTTGATAATTTCCGTATCTTGGAGATTCGACGATATATCCTCATGTTCCGTCCGTTAATGCTGTCTGTCAAATAAGACACGAATAATCGTAGAAAGTGTGACCATGTACGCGTATCGGGAAAATTCAAGCTGCCACGTTGAGCAGACTGGGAAGAGTAAATTCTACGCGACGCGAGGACGCGCGTGCAAATATCAGAATACGTCCGGACGGCGAGTGTCGCTCCGGTTAAAAGGGTTAATATCATGACCGAGCCGCGCGTTGTAACTTGAAAAAAAAAAAAGAAAAAAGTGGAATACCCTCATTCCTGAGAGTTTCATCTTGGTACATAGCCACGGGCGATACGCCGACGTACCGAGCGACGACGAGTGGGTTACCAGCGTGAGAATCAGCCGAGAAACGAGTAAGAGAAAAGTAGGAAGATTATATACGTGTGGTCCTCCCACCCTATCCACAATGATGTCGACAGCGTATGTAACGGTAGACAATGTCGTGACCAATAGCTAATATATCGGTTGTGCTAAACGCTTTCCAGGCATCGTCAGCTTCTCTACCCTTCTCTGTCTCTCATTCTCGTATATTTGCCGTGCTGACGGTTCCACTCTCCGCGTACGCACACTCGACGCACACGTTAAAAAAAAAAGCACGGAAAAAAGAACATACCGCAAGAAACTTCCGCGTGCATTGCGGTGTATAAAGGTCTCGGCCGGCGATATATCACGAGAACTTTTTGTCAAAGACAATAAAAAGATATAAGATAACTTCTCGGGCTCCTGTCGGGCGGCAATAATCGAAACGACAATTTGCGTCGGAATTTTTCATGCGTAATCGGGGATCAGCGCTGCGCGGCTGAGGGGACCGCGCTGACAAGCGGAGATCGGGAATAAGAATGTGGACATACGGCAGAGAGCGGAACGCTCGCCCCTATCCCGCGGTTTCCGCGAACGCGGCAAAAAGCGAAATTAAGATCGCGCGCTGATTTTTCGCATGCGGTCGCGAGAGGAATTGACGATCTTCCGGCGGCGAGGCTTGCGTGGCTACCAAGGACGACAACAACATAAACGCTCTCCCGACCCGTCCGTCGAGTCGCCAAGCAGAAAAAGGCCTCGGAGAGTGAGCAGCTTAGCGAACTGCTCTCCTCCTGGACACAATCGGAACGTTTCCCGAACACGTGCCGAACGAGTTTGCCTGGGCCCGACCGGTCTGCCGGGCAAAGCGGGTTTCGTTCTCGCGCGAGTTTTACGAGGGGCTCCGGCTTCCTGCGCATCCTCTCGTGCGAGACACGGCGAAATCGATCTCAGCCTCACGCGCCTTTATTCGTTCATATCTCTCTCTCTCTCGTGCGCGTTATCTTCTTGTCATTCGACCGCGGTCGCAAAAATTACGCGAGGCGTGTTACAAGTGACACAAACACGCACCTCTGCACGCCCGCGGCGCGACATTAATTTCTCTCCGCAATATCCGGCGACTATATTATTTAATAACAAGAATTTCTCCACTCTGTCGCGTACCGTATTTAGTACTTTCTTGAAACATAATTTCGATCCCCCGCGCGTAACGCTCATGCCGCGTCGTGGAGACGCGTCGTGCTAACGCGTTAAATTGATCGGCAAAGCGTTATAAATTAACTGTCGCGATTGATATCGCGGGACGACTCAACCGGGGAACATGGTTACGGGAAACTTTCCCTCGCGGATAAGCCTCGGCGCTCACCGCAGGAGACAACGGGATACACGACACTCTAATAAGACGCGGAGAGCTCGCGGTTACTACTGAATGAAGACGAAAGCGCGTTAATCGCGTCGTCACCCGACACCATCTTTCGCGGTATATAATATACAGCCGATATTTTCACAACATTGGCTTCTTGCACGACAGCTTCCTCGTGGAACATACATCTACGCTCCTTGTGACTAACGGGCTGTCTCTTCTGACAGCGTTTATCTTACTTCACGTTTCCACATTTTAACTGAAATATCTACAAAAAAAATGGCAAAGAAAATTTTCAAAGAATAATTTTCTTCGAAAATGTCATACGCTACGTACACGAACCGCTAGCAAATTATGGACTTTGTCCATTGAGAAAATAGCTCGGGGTGACGTCAGGCTCAGAAAATAATTAGCGGGGACTCGTCTTACCTCCGCAAATAACGTCCGCCAGGTTCGTCTGTACAGCCTGATGCGTAACATCGCCGTCTCGCAGAGTGAGCATCTCGCCGTGTACGAGTGCCACCGCCTCGTCGTTGCTCATCAGCATGCTACCCTGACCTCTGGACCCGTTCACGTCCCTGGAACACCGCCTGGAGCTACCGGAGTCGCGTCTAAGTCTCTTGGTCTCGGGCGTTACGACGAAGTAGCCCTGAGACGTGTGATAGATCTTTCGCTCTTGCATGAGCTTGGCGAGCGCGTCGTAAACGAGCTCTCGGCTGGGCCTCTGCATGGCCGGGAAGGCGTTCCTCAGGGCTGATCTGAGGGTGTCCAAGGTCGCCGCCTGCCTCTGGGAAGTCAGCTCCAGAATGGCCCAGCATAAGGCTTCTGGCAGCGGCGTGAACTGACCTTGGGAAACTGGAGCCACCAGACAGTCCTCTATATCACCTGCAAAACGGGAGGGGCTCGAGGTTAATACCTGCCAGCATTCTCGTCCGCGCATTCCGGAGGCCGTAATTTTTCTAGGAATTAATTGAACGGCGAGTTATCATCCGGCCGGAGTCATTTTACGTAACTTGCTTTATGCTTCAAATACCAATTTTGCGCCCGTTATGGTCCCGTGCGCCGGATTTTACGATCGTCCGTCGCATTAACGCCCTCCGGGGATAAAATGAACAATAAGATGACGCCGTAATTTTATATTTTCTATTTATTCCTCTCCGCTGTCGCAGTAAACTACTGTTCGTCTTTTGATTTGATATACGATCACGTAACTTTATTTTCGAGGCCGTCGCCGAAACGTGGATAGCTTATACTCTATGAATCCGGTGACACATGACAAATTAAATTACATTCATGTTAAAGCCTTTCTAAAACCAAATCGAGGCTGCTCGCATTTCCATACGTGTAACGACCGCTAAGTATTTCATTAAGAAGCGCGCGACGCGATGGGAAAGAGAAGTCACGTTGGGTTTCATGCCGCATTCGTGATCAGGGACGTTTCATGGGACGGAACAGAGATACAGTCATTCCAATTACGAATTAATCGAATTCTTTCCACGAATGAAGTCGAGGAGCAAACGCGGATCGGCGACATGAAAAAGACGGCGAATTTATTAAGCCCGGGGCGACCGACGGCACGGCTCCTGCGGTATTATGAGAGAATCGAAATCCTTATTCTTCCAGTCACGTCTTACGGTAACCTGGCGACACCGCGACTGCGTGCTCTCCTACATCTGGTTCACGCCCACAAAAAAGAATATGGATTATTCTAAACTCGAGGGGGGGGG